AGGTACACTGCCATTTGGGTTACCAGAGAAAGCAATTAGGAATGACGATGCACAAGCTCATGGGACTGCAGCACAGAAAATCCCCATTTCAATTTCCAAAGCTGAAACATCTGCAGATGTTAAGAAAGTGTCAAAATTATCTTGTAATACAGAGACTCTAATACTCTACATTAGTAATTAATGGGACCAACACTAAAACTCACCACCAACAGGTCCAGCAAGACCAGTACATCAAAACCAGTCAGATAATACAACCGGACAGGCATATGTGTTAGCACAACAGGAAAGGCATCTGCTTCTCACATCCCCTACTGATTCCTGGGCTCATTCACCTTGCTACAGAGATTTTAACACACATACACTGTTCCCTGATCCTCTGGGTTTCACATCTCCTGTGTGTTCAGAGGTGGGAACACCACCACTGCACCTCTGTGCACGTCCTGATGCTCTCTGAAAGACCAGGAGAACATGCTCTGGGACTGTGCCAAGCCACCACCTCTGAACAATGGATTCAAGTCTGTGGAGGTTCACAAGCCAATTCCTACCTGAGGCAAGAACTGAATCTGTGCTTTCCCAGGTCTTCCCTATCCGGGCTGCAGCATAGCTTAAAATGCTGCAAAAATACCTTAACATGACTGAAGCATGCCTTAGATGCATCTCCTTTTAGATTTCTGAGCTAGATTTTCTGTGGCAAAGCAGCATGGAAACGGAGAAATCCCACTGAAAATAAATTCACACATTTCCTGACATTCAGCTTCTGAGAATGATTAGCAATGCTCAAACTAATCTGTTTTGTGGCTGGACCCTTCCTTTTACCCATCTTGTAAAAACCTCTTCTGGGCAATTTCTGTTAACAGTCCCATATGGAAATTCTAGGCAGTGCCTGAACTGTGCAGGAACTCTGATGTCACTGCAGGGATGCAGGAGTCTTTTTTGAGATTTGCCACTGTTAAGTAGTTCCCAGAGGCCATGCAGTGGCACATGTTAGCATCCCTCAGCACTTCAGGCATTCACAGAGAGCAGACACCTCCTGTAACCTACAACAAACACTAGGAGCAGCTGCTTTCCAGAGCCAAGGAAGTGTCCTTCTCCAGAAGCTGCTCTGTCCCATATACCACACTCCTTTTCTGTGTCTGCTGCCCACCAAAGCCAGCAGTGCACAACATTTTGTGGGGCTTTCTTTTTGCTTCAGTGTAGAATTTTGGGGTACTCTGGTTACCAACAAGCAAAGTATAAGTTCGCAGGCAAAATAAATTCCTGCTATATAATGCAGTGGGATTCAACTGCATCACATGCAAACACTCAAAACAGAAGTTAGAAAACCATTGCTTATTCCTTGGACTACAGACCAATAGTGACTGCAACATGGTGGAACTAGTACAAGGGGTTTGTAACAGTCTCTGGGGAGCTGGGATCAAACATGATTGGTTGGTAAAAATAAGGATTGGAAAATAAAATATACCTTATTAAGGTACTGTACTCTGCTTTTAAACCTAACAGAAGTTTTGCTGACAGCATTCAGATTACAATGTCACTCTGCACCAGATATCTAATTCATCAGTCTCATATAAACAGTTTCAGCAATGGAGGGCAGAATACTCCTTTGTTTGTTATGTGGTGAAGTTTCTTTTGGTTTTGCCTATTAAAGTCCTGTCTCAAACTGCACAGAAGTTTCAAAATGCTGCCTCAAAGGGACACTGACAAAAATCAACAGGCCTGAGAGACAAACTGCCCCTTTCCCCAGCACACACTGTGTTCTGTCCCAATGGGAACAGCTCTTTCTAGAGCCAGTGAGAGGTGCCCAGGCTCCCCAGTCTATGAGATGGCTTAGCCCAGAGTGTTCGTACAGCCTCAGCTCCTACTGTGCCTCCACTTGTGACTCAATGCTGCAATTAAGCACCCCATTATCAGGGAACTGCACTTCTCAGGAGGTCAAAAGCTTAATTTCTCAGGAGGCAGCAGCTGCCTGGTTATGGGGGCATGGCATTTTTAAGGTCCCATTGAAGTTAACTCCCCCAGCTAAAGCAGCAGCATCTGTACCATTAACAATCTGCCAAATACAGCTCTACCACCAAAACCACAACCAGGTTTTTCATGGGTAACTTTGATATTGATGGGCAGATCCTCACTTTGTTTGAAACTGTAAGAGGAGCTACAACAACATACGCTACTCCTGCACAAGTTTCTACGACACACAGACGCATCATCAGGCCTGGGTATTCCTCTATGTCTGGCCACAAACAGATATGAGATCACGTCATTACAAGACAAAAACCACTGCAAAATTATTTCCTCGCACAGCACCTTTACTCTGCACAGAACATCAGATACGTTAACACTGGCAGTTCAAAGATACTGGAAAGTAGAATCAGAGAATCACAGAACATGCTGAGTTGGAACGGACCCATCAGGATCATTGAGTCCAACTCCCAGACACTCCAAGAATCACACCACGTGCCTGAGAGCGTTGCCCAAATGCTTCTTGAACTCTGTCAGGCTTGGTGCTGTGACCATTTCCCTGGGGAGCCTGTCCAGTGCCCAACCACCCTCTGGGTGAAGAACCATTTCCTAATATCCAACCTAAACCTCCTCCAACTCAGCTTCATGCCTTTTCCTTGAGTTCTGTCGCTGGTCACAAAAGTGAAGGGATAGGTACCTGCCCCTCTGCTTCCCCTCATGAGGATGTTGAAGACACCAATGAGGTCTCCCCTTAGTCTCCTCTTCTCTAGGCTACTTTTATCCTCTAGAAGGTCAAGGCTGCAGAAGAAATTCAGACTAGCCATTAGTTCAATCAGCACACAGGAAACAACAAGCAAGAACAGCATCCGGTGCGGGCTTGGTGGGGTTTTTCTTTTTTAGATTTGTTCTTGTTTTTGAAAGATGTAAAGCTTTTAACTTCCACACCTAGATTATCCATTTTGCTCACCTAAGCAGCACAGCTGTTTCACCATTTAAAACTATGTCTAACTGGGGATGGTGAGCAATACTCGCTCTGGCCTCTATCTGAAATCCTAGTGTAGATAGGCACATTCCCTCATTCCATTATTAACTAAATTAAAAACAAACCCCAAACTTTAATGGTGATTACAAAGCTTCAAAGCCTAGTGGTGATCTCTGCAATCCTAACACTATGAAACAAGTAGCCAAAATACAAGCACCCAATTTTATCACTGAAATTTGTTTAAAAGGACAACTAGGTTAGAGCCTGGCTGGGACTTTAAAGCTACATATTTAATCAGGTCACAAAATGAAGTCAGAACCATATATCCACTGCCAGCTCAAGAAAAATAAAACTCAAAGTTCAAGATCTGTTGGAGTATTGCTATTTCTAAGGTTTTCTTTAGAGATACTACAAGCAGATGATGTTCAGGTAGACATATTGCATCAAGTGACTGATTTTACAGTGGGTGAAATTCCTTATGAAGATAACTTGCTTCAGCATTAATGCCTTAATGTTAAAAATAAAAATGTTGTGTCTTAATGCAGAAAGTGAAAAGATCTTCAGCTTTATTTTATCCAAACATGTCAGCAAAATCCCACTTGCGAGTAGCACATATATTTTTATAAATTAAAAGCATACTATTCTGTCGTTTTCTTGCTTTAAGGGGGATAAAACCTGAATGCATGAACTGGATCATCAGATACTAAATAGTGCTGATTGATAGGGAAATATACAGTGTGTTGTGCTCAAAGGAACACTTCCTCCAGTTGTTACATGGTCAACACTGAAGCACATGTCCTGTTAGGAAAAAAATTAACAGGTCTTGATTTTCAACCTTCTCCGAAACTGTAAAACACCACAAAAAAAGAAATTGCTTGCTACTTAATTGTTAAGTGCACGTCCATCATGAAGGGGACTTTTGAAACTGTTTGATTCTGTGCTACGCAATGCTTAAAAATAATTTTCTCCTACCCTGTAAAATAAACCTGGGAACTTGGGAAGAAGGGAATTAAGTGAATAAATCCTAGCTTTGTTCTCTGGTATACCTGCAAACAAATCCACTTGCCAACTGATATTTTAAAATTTCGTTCTCATCAAAATGTAAAATGGATATTTAAAATAATTATTACTTTTGTAAATCCTTAAGCTCTTCAACTGTGATGTCACAAGCAAAGATGTGACATGAAACACACTCTCCCTTACCAGCCTGAAACCCATTTACTGGGTCTCATATTACAGAGGAACATGAACTAGATATGCCCTTGTGTATGAAATCTTCTGACTTTTCACCTGCTATCTCCCAGAAACCCATACGCTGCTGTAACTGGAGAACATTTCACAAGCTGCATGTACTTAATAGGAGCGTTATAAAATGTTCTTTTAGGGATGCCAGCAGAGGACATGGACCTGTGTTATGTTCTTCCACGCACAAGAGCTGGTTTTACCCTTGCAAACACTTCCCAGGGCTTCCCCCAGAAAACTCGCACAGACAAAGCAATGAACTATCATGATTTGTCTCCACTCTGAAGTTACACTCACTCATATTATTGTTTGCTCAGAGGTGTGCAAAAAACCCCTATATTGAAGAACTTGACCTAGCCCCTCCTCAGATGAAATTTATATTGCATTGTTAATGATTTTAGTCGACTCGATTTTTGTGCAAAATATTTTCAAGAAGGTTCTGGCTCAACTTCAGAATACAAAAGAAGAATAAATAGGATCTCTTGACAACAGAAAATGAATGATGTATGCTGAAAAGAAAATGATGGGCTTAATGCAATTTATCTGCAAATAAAATAACTAGAATAGTAGTGTCTGAAATTTTAACATGTGAGATGGCACCAGTAAAGATTTCCATTTGCACAATAATGTTCCCAAGGTCTAGATCAAAACAATATTATTTTATACATGGTAACTGCAGAGACTAGGAGCCTGAGATATGTTATTAAAAGGCAGTCCCTTGTAAACTTTCCTCAAGAGGAACAGTAGCAATTGAGTATGCAAGAGTTACTCATATCATATTCATCAAGACAGCAATGCTTTATAAAAAACATACAGCTTATTTCCAGGTTGTTAAGAATTTTATGATACTGATTTTCTGAAACATGTATCCATCCAGTCCAAGATTGAAGCCACATCCTTCTTCACTGCTCTGAAGCTACTAGGTCTTTTGCTCTGCTGCTGTTGCTGTCTGTGAAGGAGCTTCTGGTTTCACAATCTGGTATGTAATGAGATATTCTGGGTATGCCTGAAAGTAAAACAAGAAGAAAAAACAGTGCTTTATGCAAGGGTACACTCAGTAAGTTCCCATTTTTTTGGATTTCACTAAACAGTGCCCATAAAGGACAGTGCAAGAATCAGCTCTGTGTTCACAGCATGCAGAAGAAAAAGTGGATTCCCAGCAATAAGTGGGAACTGCTCAACGTAGTTAATACTTCGGTTAATATACTATAGAAAGAAAGATGTTTCTTCCATGCAGGCACTGCCAGAAATTCTGTGTGTAACAGAAATTCACAATTATTCTCCTTGTTAGTTAATCCTACTAATCAGTCAGGGCCTATAAGTTACTCAAAAATCTCAGACAGTCTGACCCCAAAAGGCTCACTAGCTTGCCATGCGACCTGCAAATTCCTTTACAGGCAGTAAAACAGCTGGCCCACCCAAAGAACATAACCCAGTCAGTCATCTGTCCAGTGTTTTCTGAAGACAGCTGGTAGTCGGTTCAGTCCCAGAACAAGGCTAAAGTTGCTGGAGGGCAGAGCCCCAATCAGAGGAACCTAGACAGATGAGAGGAGGGAGACTGGGCCTACAGAAGCCTCATGAAATCCAGCAAAGGCAAATGCACCTGGGACGAAGTCCTTGTAACACTGCAAGATGGGAAGCCACTCTGCTGAAAAAGTGCTGGAGGTCCTTGGGTGACAGCAAGCTAAAGCAGAATCAATAGCATGTCCTGACAGCAATAAAGGCTACCAGCATCCTGTGGTACATCAGCAGCAATGTTTATTCAGACTGCTGTTTATTCAGTATTCACTTGACCACATCTAGAAAACTGCATACAACTTTTGGGCCCTCCAATACTAGAAAGATGCCAACAAGCTGGAGACAAGTTCAGCAAAGGACCAATAAGATGGTCAGGGGGAGAGAGCACAGGATAAACAAGAAGAGGCTGAGGGAGATGGGCTTGTTCAGTTCAGAAAAGAGAAGGCTTTGTGGGACCTCACAGCAGTCTTCCATTATGAATGAAATGGAGAACACAGATTTTCTGAGATGCGCAGGCCGAGAATGTGATTAATTAAGACAGGGAAGATTTCTACTTCATATAAAGAACACATTGTTTTACTGCGAGGATAAGTAATCAAAGGAACAAGCTGTTGTAGGAGGCTGTGAAACACTATTCGCTGAGGCCTCCAAGACCTGCCTGCTCAAAGAAAGCTCTCAACAATCTGGCCTGGATTCAGTGTGAACAAGAGGTTGGCCCAGGGAGACCTCCCCAAGCTTCCTTTGAACCTGAACTTAAGATTATATAATACCTTAGCACAGAATCATAGAATGGTTTGGGTGGAAGGGATCTTTAAAGATCATCTAGTTCCAAGCCCCCTGCCATGGGCAGGGACACCTTCCACTAGACTAGGTTGTTCAAAGCCCCATCCAGCCTAGCCTTGTATACTTCCAGGAGTGGAGCATCCACAGCTTCTCTGGGCATCCTGTTCTAGGGCCCAAGACAGAGCCCTGAGGGACACCTCTCATCACCGGCCTCCACCTGGACATACAGCCACTGATTACAACCCTCTGGCTGCGCCATCCTGCCAAATCCTTATCCACAGAATAGTCCACCCTTCAAACTTGGAGATAAGGATGTCACGTAGGACATGACAAGTAGATGACATCGGTCCATCTTCCCTTGTCAACCACTGCAGTCATTCCATCATAGAAGGTCACTAGATTGGTCAGGCACGATCTGCGCTTACTGAAGCTCTGCTGGCTGTCTTGGATCAGCTCCTTGTCTTGTATGTGCCTTAGCACTGCTTCCAAGAGGATCTGTTCCATGATCTTCCCAGGCACAGGAGTGAGGCTCACTTGTTTGTAGTTCCCCAGGTCTACTTTTCTCCCCTTTTTAAAAATAGGAGCGATGTTTCCCTTTTTCCAGTTGCTGGGTTCCTCGCCTGGTGGCCAGGACTTTTCAAATATGATGGAGAATGGCTTGGCAACATCAGTCAACTCCCTCAGGACCCCGGGATGCATGTCATCAGGCCCCACAGACTTGTGGCTATTCAGTGTCATTCAGTGGTCTTGGAGCCACCCAATACAGTAAGCAAACCACTTTTCTAGAGCCAGGGTCTAGTTGAGTTATTTAGATTAAATATCAGCTTCTGAAGATTGCTGTGCTACTCCAGCTGCCATTTAATGGCAGTCTCAGTCACTGCTGGGAATATAGAGGTAAAAAGCCCAGAATCCTCAAGATGTACAAGAGCCCCAAAAATGCATGCGATCGTGATACTGCAGTAATGCAGTGAAATGGAATGGGAGAAGGAGAGCCTACAGAGAGAAACCACAATTCTTAATAGGCTCTAGCAGTGCAGCACAGGGGAAATCAGGAAATTCTGCATGGTATAAATCAGAGTAGTTCAGTGGACGGGAGTAGCATTTGCTGGCTAGATACAGTTTATTTCCACATTTAAATGAAAAAAAAATCAAAAATCTAATCAATCACCTTATCACAGCACACTTGGTCTGGAAATCAGTCACATCCCCTCTCCAGCTCCAAGCTCTGTACTTCCATAAGCCCAGTCCTTGCTAACTTACATACCTGTTCTCCCCTATAGATAACGTATTCAGCGTAGGCAAGTCCATTCACGCTTGGTCTGCCGATAACAGAATGGTGCCCTGGAGGGGCATGAGCCATTTTCATTGTGCTGAACTGAAGAAAGGATTTTCCAAGGGTCACTCTACAGAACAGCATTTGTCTAAAAGGAAAAAAGAAAATATAATTTTTCAAATATCTTACTAGGAGTTGTATGCTTCCAGAACAATTTCAGTCTTTTGAGTTTATTTTGTTACAATTAATTTCTCAAAGCTTTTTAGAGAAACGCTTCTAGAAACCAGTTCTAAGACTGTATGAAACCTGTCACAAAAAATCTTTCACGACACACAGAAGGGAAAACACACACTTCATTTAGTCCTCACATTGAGACCTATTCTAGTTCACTTTATATAAAGATGTTGAAAGAAGCTGAAACTCTCTGTGTTCCTATCAGCAGGGTATGGACATGTGTCAAAGTGTGAGAAACACATTGATCTACTCCAGTACAAAACAAAGCTGTGATTAAGTCCTGCTCGCTACCTCCAGAATTATCTGATCCACAGTACAACACTGTACTGCTGACCACCACTTTGCACTGCAGTTTTGTTCTGAGAGTGCCTGGAGTTTAATTGCTATTTTCCCCTGACTCTTCATTTTAAAACTTGCTGTTTCAAGCCTCTTTCCTGACCACAGCTCACTTTGATTTATACTCACTGCATGCTTAGATGTAATTTTTGACCTTCCTGTGGGACTTGCTGCATTTATATCCTTTTTTGTTCAGCTTTGACAAATGGAAAACTGCATTTTTCCTGCCATGACCAAGCTCAAGCGGCCATTCTTTCCCTACAAGTCATCCTGGGCCAGGATTGTAAAAACCAGGACAGCCAAAATTACGTATGGGGAACTCTGCTGGACTCATACCTGTGACAGATATAACAAGACCTGTCTTTGTGTGTGGGACAGCCTGTTCCTCCCCCTATTCCGTACACATATTGGTTGCTTTTTGAGGAGTTCTCAGCAAAGTAAATTCCAGCTCCAAACATTCCTCCAATGTATGCATGCCTTTCATCAAATCCTTTGTGAATGATAGCATTAATAAAAGGAGACCCTAGAAGAGAATGACACAAAAAGATATATACTTGTTAAGTTTTATAGTAATACAGGACTCTATGTCAAGAGGAGTTTATCTGCCTCAAATAGACCATTAAATACCAGAAAGCGTGCTCAGTCAGCTGGAAGGGGGCGATACCCAGCAGGATGCAGTGATGTGTGGGATTTATCATTATATACCAAAATCCCACGTGTGACTCATTTCTTACTCATTTCACGGATCTCATTAAAAGGCTTTCCCCCACTCACATTTCAGTGCAATTTATCTTGTCAATGCACACCTTCTCCAGCAGTCAGTACTGGTTAAGATGGGGCAAGATGTCAAGACAACCATACCCAAAACCAATTTCCTATACAGAATCATAGAAGAATCTAGGGCAGAAGGACCTTCAGGCAACTGTCATTTGTAGGCACTTCTAAAGAATTCTTGCTGAAACTCATAGCTGGTTTTGATTCCTTTCCCTGATGGCTTGCCTGAATCAGCACCAGGGTAAAACGCTTTTACTGTGTGCTGCTCTCCTCATTCAGAAGATACCATGTTTTTCTCACAGCAATGTAACAACCGCCTAGCAGCTTTACTGGAAATGACTAAGATATGGCTTAGCAAAAAACCTTCCTTTTTCTTAAAATAACAACAACAACAAAAAGTATTTTTTTACCTAGTGTAGCTTTTTGAATTGCAGTAACCATACAGACTAACTCCACCACTCCCCCGCCCCCAATGCACCCTCTGCATTTCAAGTGTAGATATACAATTACTTGTACAGGATAGTGACACAGCAACATTAATATTGCCTGTGGGTCCTTGTAGGGTTTAGGTTTTTTTGTTAAATTCCAATATGTACAAAGAGACACTACTTCCTTACCGTGAAACAACATGCGTTCGTTGTGATGATTATGATTCTCCTCTGAGACCTCTTTCTGTCTGTGACAGAATCTCTCCCGCAACTTCTTGTTCACTACCTTTTGAATCTGCAGTGGCACAATAAGTCCAACCATACTTGAATTGGAATTGAAATGGAATATAGTTTCACAGAGTTCACATAAATTCGACAGGGAAACTGAGAACAAGACATGAGAAGGGTACAAAGAAACCCCCAGCCTGTTCTGCACACAAGGTTGAAGTCTTTCAAACAATTCTGTAGCACACACAAATGGTTAAAACTAGTGTGAAATTGCAACTTAAGTTGTCAGGTTTAAACCTTCAGGCTTCTTCTCTTGAGGCCTGCAATACCACAAAGAACTAGAAACTGTCTGAAACTCCTTCCCTCTCTGCTTTGAGCTCTGTTGAACAATCTAGTCTAGCTTTTTGAAACTAGCCGTCTAGTTTAGGTTTATTTTTTATGAAAAGAAACAACTTTTGAGGAAAAAAATAAGGAGATGTGCTGTTTAATCTATCCTGAGATATTGTTTCAGCCACACGCTCATACTACTGTGGTTTCTCTAAAGGACTTTACCTTTGGCTGGGAGTGGGATGGAAAGCAAAGTTTACTTTGGGATGCATGATCTGCTGGATCAAGTTGCAAAGGCTCTGCACAGGTTTACTTTTCAAACAGATAGGCACCATGGGTTTTCTGGAGCTCAGAAACCAAGTTCTGTTCTGATTTCCTCTATTTCCTTTTCCCCCCAAAAAGCAACCAGAAAGTGTACTTTCCCTCAGAAAGACAACACTCTGATTTCTGAAATAACAGGGCTTGTAAAACATATTTTTCTAGTTAGCAAAAGCAAAGAAGGAGGTGTCAAGATCTAAGATTGCATAGGGAGATAGAAACATTTATTAAAAGTCATGATCACCCTTTCATACACCCCCTCCCCAAATCTTCTTTAAAGAGACAAAAAAAGACTACACTGAGAAAAAAAACCAGATCTGGGTTGCAAAGTCAAGTACAGAAGTTGTAGACCTCTGAAATTTAATCAGGTTGTGAAAAAGTCAGATTCTTCACCACCTCTGTCTTCAACATCAGTTCTTCAGATTCCTTTAAAAGCCCAAGTGGACACTTCTCCCTCATTTCATGTGCAGAGCATACATTTAGTCTATTTTTAGCATCTAGCACTTGCTTTAACTCTGTTCCTGAATATTATTTCAACAAAGAACTTTAAATATAAAAGGGTGATCCATTAAACCAATTCTGCCTGCTGGCATAGATACTAACATAATTTATCCCATAAAATTAAGAGGTTTTGAAACTTACCCTGATGACATTGTATCTGTTGAAGATACCACCAGCATTTCCACCATCTCGATGCTCCCGGATTGTACTTTGCATCTACATAAAAGAACACAACTGAATGTTCACCACAAAAGCTTGCTAGCAAAGTAAAGTATCCATGCAGTGTCTCAGAATATCACTGACAACAACGGGCAATCTTGACTGAAAATTAATTAAAAGCTGTAAAAAAACCCCATCAATTTCAAACTGAGGTACACTTTAACTTCTCAAGCACCCCGCATCCTATGCTGGTACACAGTAGAGAAGTTGGATGATGCAATTATCCAATCTTGTAATAAAAATCTACATAGGAAAAAAGGGGAATAATGGCACTTCCTATCCAAATTATATACAACTAGAAAATCTGCTTCAGATTAGAAAAAAACAATCCTTGAAAATGAATATATAAAAATATCACTTTGAAGTAATAACAAATGTGATTTTAATGAGGTTAGGTTGCATTTCTTAGTGATAGGAAAATGGCTGTACTGTAAACTTTCCTATGTCATTAGCAGATCCTGAGAATTTTAATGGTTTCATTGTGTCTTTTCCAGAAGTATTTATAGCTACAGCAACAATATTTAGTAACAGTTCAAATAAATATCTCAATTTACTATGGCAGACAAGTGACCCTTTCTGTTGGAAAAGTTTATAAAAACAATCTGCACAAACTCCAGTTTATGAAGTTACTAATAAAAAATATACTGGCTTAACTGGCACCGATACTGAATATCTAGACTTTAAAAAAGACTCCAAGATTTCTGTGCTATAGCGTAGGAACATGACACAAATAGTAAATGCACAGTAAAATGGAGTTTCTTCCAAATACAACTCTTCAGGAAGTCTCTTCTCTGTTGTGATTTTTGCTTTCAAAATGGTATCTGCTTGTAGTTTACTTAAATAAAAGAGCATGTGTGTGTGGGAGGCAAAATTGCAGTCAATGCTCAATTAACCAAGAGCTGTTTATCTGGGTTACTGATTAACTAAGCCACTGAGACAAGAGAAAACAAGCTGGTTCACTTGCAGAAATAGCTTGAGCACAGAAAATGCCTAGAGAATTGCAAGGTCTTGATCTCTCGGATTTTATACACAGCTTTTGATTTTTGCAGGTCCATCTACCTATGGAAAGCTGTGGAAACCCTTCCTATGAGACAACATTCAAAACACAACAACAACAAATTGGAATAACACTAAGTGAGCAAACAGACCACTCGTTAAAAAAATTAGCAGGACACAGCAAAATAATTTCTATCATTGCTCTATGTGAAAAGACAAATGAAGAGGCCTAAACTTCATGTCAGATCTACGCAATTCACACACCAAAGCCTATTTCATCACTTTCAAAATGTATTACACTTCAGTTCTGACAGGTTATAAATGAAAAGAGAAATATACAGCCACTGAAGCATTAAGAAAGGGACTTGGATTACCTCCTCTTCTACGGACTGATACTCCTTATCGTCAGGAGCAAGGTCAAGGAGAATGGTCCCCTGACTCACACAGTGGAAAGTCAAATAAGGATTAGTGCCTGCAAAGGGAAGGAATGAAAAGGAGCACAAATCAACAGGAAAAACCAATACCAGCTCTATTTGTATCCATCATCATCATTACTCTTCTTAAACAACCCCAGCACAGCAGGAAATGAAAAATAAACACAAGGCAGAAGCACAACCTCAAAAAGATAAAAAGCCTTTCGTTAGCAGCAGAGGCTTTAAAAGAGAGAAGAAAAATGCATGTGGGACATAATTGCACTTTATTGCTTCTGCTTTCAACAGAAGCATCTCAGAAGTGTGGGGCAGCTAAAACTCCATCAGGTCCACCCTTCAGGATATAACTGGCCTGTGGGTAAGTACGTAGGGCAAACCAATCCAATAGCTCCTGGTTGGATGAAACAGGGTGCTGAGAAACAGGCACAGCTTCCAAGGCTGCCTCAGGGGTGTCCATTCCCTGAAAAGGCAAGTGATCACTTGGTCCTGTATCTCCTGAATATATTCTTTACCTGTCACAACCCACTCAGCCACCATGTCTGCCATCAAATACACTTTCCTGACATCTGGATTCTTTCAAGTCCTGGTGACAATGCTTACATTTAGAGAGAGATCTACATCTGGGAGCCTGTTGTATGCAACAGTTAGACTAACCAGTAAGTGTCATATTTACCTTGCTGCCCTCCTAGAAGTCTCTCCACACCTTTTATTAATTTGTGGCGGTGTCCATATGCATTGATCCCAATTTCTTTAAGCTCCTCATGCCCCATGTCTGCCAACACATCCAGGGTTATCTGGAAAGATGAAAGACCACAAAAATCACTTACCAAACCTAGCCCAACTTCCAAGGCTGAAGACCTATCACCTCAGAAAATGGACTGTATTCATGGTGCAACCAAGACCTTATATATGTTTAATGGTTTTTTTCACTTCTAATTGCTGCCACCTTCTGGCAAACCTCTCCCTATTGCAGGACCATATCCAGCTGCTACAGTGTGAAGCTGTGCAAAACTTTTACTTCTCTTAAACCAATTAACAAGAGCCAGTTCTCCTACAAGGTTCTCACAAGCATTTTTACTTAGGTAGAAGGAGGATGCAAGGAAATGCTGGGACAAATATGGGAGTATTTTTGAAGCGTTCAAAGTTTCACCGTGCTGTGCAATTCATTATTTTCACTACACAAGCAGAAATTAATATTCTATAAGTTTACTGATAAACGTTGTCTTTTTCAGATCAACATTGTTATGGTGTGCTATTACTATGTATCTATATACACATGTGCACTTGCATGTGTATCAAACCAGTGGGTCAGCTATGCTAAGGCATGCTCAGCTGTTCCACTATATTTGGAAATAATTAACATTGTGAGAACATATACAATTATTCATTTGGTTGCAATACATGAATACATCTACAATCACTTGACAAGGTTTTAAATTTCAAGGTCGTGGAGATTAATGGTGGAAGCAAAAAGGTAATAAAACATGATGCCAAATAAACGTTTTTGTCAAGAACAGGAGATAAAGGCTAAATAAAGTACTGTGCGCTATAAATCAATTGTGCACTGTGGTGATTCTATGAAAACCAGAAATATCTCAGCTGGAGGAGATAACTGCATAAAATCTACTTGTGAATTTACACATTAAACTAGAATGGGGAGCTCAGCAAATAATAGAAAACCATAAAACTTGATTCAAAAGAAGTTGTATTACTAGCACAATTTGAATTGCAGGTATAAACTCTGTCCACTACAAACTGAATATCATTAATTCAAAAGAAAGCATCTCAAGCAAGGAATTAATAGATATACTGAACATCTGTCCAACTGAGCAGAAAACAACCCCACTGGGATCATTGTGGAAAAGCCACTGCAGACATTCATCATGTGCAGCAGAACATTAAAAAAATACAGAAAAACCCAAATCCTAGAAAGCATCAGGAACAGGGTAGAGCCAAGGTGAAAAAGTTCACAAAAAGTTACTGCAGTGCTTGCAAAAACCAGCTTAAAAAAATAAGCTTAAAGAAGATGAGCTTGTTTTTACGCAAAGAAACTTACAAGAGGACCTAAATGGTTTCAAAACAATGAATACAGTGAATCCAATTTGCATTATTAAATCTTATTAGCCAGGGAAAATCTTAAAACAGGTTAGAAGTTAAGGAAGCAAAAGTAGAACAAAACCAGCAAGGCAATAGGAAGGTGTGAAAAATAGTAAGAAAAGAGAAATGTGAGAAGAGTATAGGTTGGTTTGAGGTTGGTTTCCTTCTTAATAGAAACAGTTCCAAATTAAAGAAAAAAGTTTATGCTTCATATACAAGAAGGGGAAAAAATTATGCAGTATTTTAACTTTGGAGAGATACCTCCTAGAATATATCACAGAAATAGTTGGAACTTTTTCTGTAAGCAATACATTACATTTCAAACCTTTTTTTCCTGATCCCTCAATAAGGGATTAGCAGCAGAGGCCGGAAGAAAAAATAATCATCACATCCAGTTTCTTGCACTTGTACCTTTCACTTCCACCATGAATCCATGCAAACAAACAAATTTATTCAACTCTAACATCTTAAATTTAGGAAACGGTACATAAAATGAGTCTACAAATACATTACAGAGACTTCTGCTCTAAAACATTATGTAAGGTTGAGAAACTGTTACATTAGTTGTACTCCTTTCTTATATTGTGAAATATTGATAAATCTGCAGGTTTTTTTCCCTATCTCTCAATGCCATTTGAAACTTGTTAGCCCTGCAAAACCCAATTAATGCTATGGTCCAAACCTAATAGAAATGTAGCTTCTGATTCTCTAGTGTGACTATGTCCTTGCAAACTAGATTTTTATTTCAGCATATAGTCAAACTGGAGTGTTTCCTAGATCTAACCAAAATACCATATGCAGCACTACAGGTGGTGAAAGGCTTTTCTGGCTGTTGAGACTGTTGAAGGACAAGTGCAGGTTACATTTCAACCTAACTTTGTTATATTCATCATGTTCAAAGTTCACAAGGTCCAATATAACTTTCAGAATACAAGCCAAATTGGCAGTCATAGTGTAGGTATAAAAAAGTGAAAGCTACTGGACACGTGAATCAAACAACAGAAGATATTTTCACAGGTTTCTCAACTTTACTGTAATGTATCTGGCAACTCATCTGCAGAAAACTGAAAGAAAACTTGGGCATACTTGGGCAAAATACTTGGGCAAAACATTGGAGTTTTTTCTTTTCCCTTTTTCAATTACAAACCAAAAATGTTGCTCAAATTTATTAGGTTAGTTTACCTCTAAAACATACAAACAAAGATGAGTCTGGCCACTTACCTGTTCTGTCTCAAAGATATCCCGAAGGTGTTCAAGACCAAGGCTTTTTAGGAACTGGGTAATGTTCATGTCAAGACCAGAAACTACAAGAGAAGAAATGAGTATTTATATCCTATGCATCTGAATTAACAACACCCAAACCAAACCAATCAACTTTAAAAAAATAGTCAATAGCACTGATTCTCTCAAAATTCCACACTCTGATTTTTTTTGCAATTTGTCTATGCCTGTAATAAACAATCCACTTCAATTGTGTCAAAGCTCTGTGCAAAGCTCATCACTGTTCCCTCTTCAGAATGAACTATTAAAAGCATAAGCCATCTGTGACAAATGCAGGCTCGTATTGTAAAGAGAAGGAAAGGAAGAGTGGGTGTATTTTTGCTATGTGATCACCTAGATGCTGACCTAAAGCATGGATTCCAGATACTAATTAAAGGGTTTAAAAGGCCTTAGCAAAGTCCCCCACCCATCACAATCATAATTCCTTCATCAAAATAATTCTTATTGGATTTTCTTTATAAAATCAACAATGAACATCTGGGTACCTAATCAGATCTGCCTTTGTAGTCAGACCTAATCACTGACAGCAAACACAAATGAACAGTCAACAGTGCTCCTAGCAGAGCATGTGAAAACAGAGCGAGCATCAGGCACTTTAAAATGTAGGTAACAGTTCAAGCCGCACAGTATTTTCTGGCTAGTTGGAAATGCTTTCCAGATAAAGCAAGGCCTGTTGTGATACTAAACTACTGTACTTCTAGCAATGTAAACTTGTCCAGCAGCAAATGCACCTTCTCCTTCCTTCCTGTCAGTTCCTGCTGCTCCATCACCAGCATTTGATGCCCCTCCTACAGCTAGTTCTGCCAGTGGCCCAGTGAGGTTATCTATACTGCTGGCAGCAGAGAGGCAGGACGGCGTGGATGCTGGTGAGATCACAGAGGCACTAACAACAGTAGCTTGAGGCTTGAAGCATGTAGGCAAAGCTTCTGGAGGCATCGCATCTATCAGCAAAGCTCGGATATCGTCAGCCTGAAAACCAGAAAGAACATCCAACATAAGGTCCTACTATCACAAGTCACCAATTTCTGGAAATATATATAATTTTTATTTTTGTTTGTTTTAATTGATTGATCTCTTCCCCATTAGAAAGAAAACCGCCAACTTTTGTTACAGGGGAATTCATGGTTGCAGGAACATTTTGTTTCACTGCTCAGACACAGGAGAATCGGGTTCTCTCCATTTCTAAAGGTACGTAAGAAGGTACACCTAATTTCCTTTCTGGCACAGTGACTTTATAGGTGTTAAAGCCAGGAAGAACAATACAGCAATTTTACCTGGAATCCTTCAGAACCTAGGCCAGAAAATGCCACCTCATAATTTCTCTGTCAGGCTCAACTTCAGCTGAAGCACTTTGCACTGGAACAAGGTTTCAATAGAAAGACTACCACTGCCTTTGCTGTAATCATATCTCATAGTGTTAGAATAGGAAAAAAAAAAGACGTGAGCTCGGGAGAAGTATGAATTTAGCTAAAAATTTGATTTAGCCTTTATTGACTAAATTAAGACAGACCTTCATCTTCTAGAATTTCCCCCTTGCAAGTTCTTGTAGAAGAGAACAAAATAAGACATCCTTATTTACCCTCAGAGAAATCAAGTAATTTTCACATCCTTCATCACAAAGCAAGTTTTCTAAAGCTCAGTTTACTCTGGGGGATATTTCCTGAACTCTCCATAAATACATCACTGACCTTAAAAGACACTCACAGTGTAACTAGACAGAGCATCCAATTTGGATGCATGATCTATTCCATCAAGACTGGTTAACCTGGGACATACATGTTCATGTAACTTTATCAGGCTTTTCAAGCAGCCACCACTAACAAGAAAGTTTACAGATGTCAGTTTCAGAAAAAGTCTGATAGCCACCTACAAATTTCAGAATGTTGTTTTGGTGTTACAAAAAAAAAAAAAGAACTGAGGTAATGTGGAGGCACTGAGCATACTCATCCTCTAAATGATCCCATTTCTCTAAAGGCCCATCTGGTGTTCCTCCTAGGTTCAAAGAAATGATCATCAACAGTATACAGACTGACCATCATCAAGGACATTTCATAAAGTTTTATTTCTGGATGAGGAGATTGATCCCAGGATTAAATCCTTAAGCAGAAGCAAACCTTAAATCACAAGCCATGTTAAGATCTCAGCCAAAGGAAAATGCCTGGACTGATGGGTAAAAAGTCACAAATAGGCATTCTGGAGATGCTCTTCTCTCTCCACCTCAGCACAATGAAAGCTGAGGACCCTGGATGTCATGGAACCAGAGAAAGGAATTTAACGTGCAGAACAAATCCTCCAGAGCAGTCTGTGGCTGGCATGCTAACATAAACTTACTGTTGCCAGGTCTAGTGGTGTCTGACCCTCTTGATTCTTCATGGTTGGATCTGCTCCATGAGCTAACAGCAGAGCACAGAGCTGTGTCCTTCCTTTTTGTGCAGCTTCATGCAATGGTGTGAATGCCCATTTATCTGTTGCATTTACACATGTATTGTATTTGATCAACAGTGCTGCTATATCCACATGCTGGAAAACACAAGAACATCTTAATCAACATGACACTTGTAAAACATATATTTCCTTTTTCATGCTGGAGGTAATGGTGCCTAGAGACCCCCGTAGTTTCTCTTTCCTTTAACTCATTCTGCCTTCTGTGTCTACGTAGCAGCACACTTCTTCAGGTACCAGTTTATATTGCAGCTCCATAGTCATCTGGATCTGTGCACTACCAGATCATTCACCAGTACACTAGTAACTGGGATCAGGCACAGAATTATATTTGTGTCAAATCACCCTAAGTACATGGTATGAAGTTTGTGTCAGCTGCAGAAGCAGATGTGATACTTGATCCTGCATTTAAAAAAATATTCATGGACAAATTTGAACTGGCAAATTTACAGGGCTGCAACATTTGTGATACAACACTAGAAGCTCTGAAGATTGATGTGTTGTGCTACTGTCTGTACACGGAAGAATATGTACTGTCTATACACAGAAGTCTCTATTGTTGTACTTTCTTTCTTGCAATTTCTTGCAAGACTTTGAACCTATCTGTGCCAGCAGAGATTAGTTCTTTCTTCAATCATATTTTATGAGAGCTGTAATTGATAAAATGCATTATGAGTGTCATAAGGGACAACTGTTTTACACAGGCTATAAAAGTAATGAACTTATAACCCCACGCTTCCATCAATATCCCATCCTTAGAGTCTCCCCAGTAAAAATAAGAGAATGGAAAACTGGCAAATAAAATTTTTGCCTGCCTCTGACCAGTAGATTTTTTTTGTGCAATACAGCTAAGAAATAAAAAAGCACATAGTCAAAATGAATGGGTAGGAGGATGAAACACTTAACTTGTAAGCAGAAGCACAAACACTTGCCAATGGATTTCATTTTTCCCCTCACTGGCAATTAAATGACTCTTTGTAGCTCTCACAAAACGGCTTGCTCTCTGAACAAGTGTGACTTGAAAATACTGGAGACTTTATTTTTCCTCTCTGCAACTTTTAAACTTTTAAAGCAATTGTTGTTACTGTGATTTTTCTGCTGCAGGAAGACCTATTGAGGGTCACACAGCATGAAGTACTGGATGGGAGAACTGAAGATACTTTGTGAGGAAAAGGCAGAGCCAGCTATGAACCTGCCAGCTATGAACTTGTGAAACCAGTACTGATCTCTCTACCTCCCATTACAGAGATCTAAACAGGCTGATGACAGCTCAGAGAGAAGTGTGGGATGCCACAGGAAAGACATACAGCAACTCTTAACTAAATAAGTTGATGGAAAAACATTAAACACTGTCTAGTTAACTCTTCCTAGAGAAAGTAATTAGATTGGCATTATGAATTTTAGAAGTGATAATCAGCTCAAACGAATTTCTGACATTTATCTGAGCCAGTAAGGGATGCTTTGGCTTCACATATAATAGTTTCCCATGCCAGAACACAATCTTTACAACAGAATTTATCTCTAGATCTAAGCAACATCCTCAGAATTAATATTTATAGCAGTAAGTATATGATAAACAATATTGCTTGATATTAAGACCCAGTAACATAAAATAATTCTGTGTTGCATTTCTCATATTTCATCAGGATTTGGAGCTTTTTGCTCTTTAGGACAGTAGGAACCCAGATTGACCTAAAGAACCAATGCAAATGATGTAGAATGAGTTTCATTCATGCTCTTCTTAAAAACAAGGTGAACACTGTACTTTTTATTTCAACTCGTGGCTCTATTAGGGTCATCTCTCCCAGATTTTGCTGGTCTTGTGTCAGGCCAGGTAGTAACAGACAAAGCACATCACAAGACCATCAAAAACACTACAACTTCTTGAGCTTCATGTCTTCTGTTTGACTGCAAGCACACTGCTAGGAGCTTCTCAAGCACTGTCTCTGTACAATTACTTGCACAAGATTTCTTTCTGACCTTATCCACAACTAACAACTGCTTATAAGCAAACTATCAGGCATCTGTGCAACTGGTACACAGATGCTCCCTTCTATATGGAGGAAGAAGGGCCTGTGTCATTCAAAATTGCTTCAATCTACCACTGGACGCCCACTGCAGCAGATGGCTTGCCCTGAAGGACAACCATATTACGAACACAGTAGCCCTTCAACACTGTAGCAATAGCTTCCCACCAGACACCAGCTGCAACAGATTTCCACTTCCCCATCATCATCTGCACGTGACCCCCTGGTATTTTTCTCTTCCTTCCATCTAAGTCTTTCAGAGACAACTTGAGCTCTTTTCTCTTTCAAATGTCACCCCAAACTTAACAGTGTTCAATACTATGCATCTGCTTTCCTGCCTAAAAGCTATGTTGTAGTGATCTTTCCAAACTGCAGCCTTTAACTGCTACAGCACACCTGAATCTGTGTCTTATTTAGATCTGTAGGACTGCAAACAGGACTCACAACAGAAACTTAGCCCAACAAATATTTCACGCCATCAAAACCTGAACTATTTTCACAGGAAGACAGCTGCAAAATATCTGGCTTTGGATATGACTTCAAGGAGTTCCTTGCTCGTCTACTTACAGCAAGAATGCCTGCACCTACCCCATAGGATGCTGCGTTGTGTAGGGGGATTAATCCTCCTTTGTCCTGGGCATTAACATCAGCACCATGCTCAAGAAGGTATTCAGCTACTTCCAAATTGTTGTAACCAGCTGTAGAAAAGCACAGGAAAAGAAATTAGGAGAGCTAAACTAAAGAAAATATTAGACAGAAAAGCTAAGGCAATTTTTCAACTACAAAAGTTCCTCTTCCCTAGTTAACTGTATTACCTCCTGAAATATAGGTGCCACGGTTAACTCTTTGTACAGGACAGTTCTCGGCAGAACTCTCCTTATACCAGTCCTGGGTGAAATATATCTTTAGCCTACCACAAATATACCACAAAACCTGGTGAGTCACCCACCTGCAAGGTGTAGCGGTGTTGAATTTCTTCCCTGGGTGTCTCTGCAATTGATATTTTCTTGAGTACATAACTTCTGTACTCGTGCCAGGCACCCCTTCTTGGCAGCATCTAGCAAGGCAGCGTCTCCTCGCAGTAAGTCCTGGATATCTGTGTCCCCTTCTTTCACCAAATCTAGAGGAGTGTTCCCATCTCGATTCTTTTTTGTTGGATCAGCTCCATGCTGCAAAGCCAAATGCTACTGTCACAATCATGAGCAGAGCAGTGAACATAAGTGTGTAGCTATTTCATGGAACAAGATAGAAGGCAGGAGATTTTGCTGACCTACCATCATGAAGTAACTGCACATGAGACTAAATTCAGGAGGTTGAGGCCTAACAGCACTAGTCTGAAACACAGCTGTATGAATCTCAACTCCATAGGCAAGAATGGCAACCCTCCGCAAGAGCTGCCACTGCTCTGCTTGCAACTGAAGTACGTTCAGAATCATGTCCTGCATAGCTACTTCCTACTGTCACAGCAAGTGCTAAAGAAAAGCCAACTGCAAGTTCTTCGCTGCCAGTCCTCCCCTTCTCCTGAAAACTGGCAGGAATCAAATGGCTGGCAGAGGTTTCTCCTTAGCACAACTTTCTGAGCTAGCAAAGCCAGGCTCCAAGTTTTACTAAATGCCACCCTACTATTAAAAGGCACTTGTTTCAGAAGGGAATTAGAAAAATACTCTTCTCTACACATTCCAATAGATAACAGAAGCATCTTAAGCAGTTTACAGGTCCTCGAAAGCAGTGCAGAAAAAATTCTGGTGGACAAGTGGAGGTGGATGACTGCTGGAGTATATCTCTGCTGGTAAAACAAGCAGATCAGGCAGTGATAAGAACACAGAACTGGAGCACCAGGAGATGGGAAGGGGACCATACAGCTATATAGAGCATATGGTGTGAGTCATGCCCACATTCAGTTTTGTGGGAGGACAGCTCCTTCCCTGTTCACTCTCAGCAGCAGTGGAAAAAAACAAAGATAGATAAGGCAGAAGCAGCTGCTGGCATGGTAATTTCTGACTGGCCTCTTTAGAATAATCAAACAAGTGGTCCAACCCCTGCCAGCAAGTCTGCCCTACCATTTTCCACTGGACATGCTGGCAAATCTGTGTTAGTGTGAGCCACAGGGAATGAGCTGGGAATGTGGAGAACAGAAGGAATTAACTGCCTTGTATTTGGAAGCAGTACAACTCTGCTCAGGGTGTAAAGGATAAACAGCAAGGGACAGAAAGGGACAGAGTATTGATTACACAGAACCAGTTCCACATCTGTGGTTCTTTTAGGAAGAGAGTACTCTTTGCACAAAGCCCTTTAAACTGTAATGATTTCTCCAATATATGACCTTAAATCTCTTAATTTAAAACTCATAAAAATTGGAACTATTCAAATATGCTCCAGAATAAGTATCCGAATGAAGAGGCAGTGTCTTCTGAGACCCCTTCCAAGGCATAGAAACAAGTGAAGGTGGTAATTTTAAAGAAAAGTGATGAAAAAAGACAGTGTCTTTTTTGTTTCCTTCTTCAAGCAGACCAGGAGAGAAGGAACACAAGTCAGGAGGATTCAAGCTCAACATCCACAACTCAGCGGAACTGACAACACTGCCAGTTGGCATAAGAGACACAGAGGAGAAACCCGGTGCAAGCTGCAGTGTGAGCACATCTCCACGGACACCCAGAGCCTTTACAAATCTGTCACCTTAGGGGCATATTTTAGCTCTTGTGCAAGAGTGATTTAAAAAAAAATAAATTTCAGCACTTTTCTATTTCCCATTTCACATCCATTCAGGATCCTTTGAACACAAAATATGGCTAAATTCCCAGTGGAATGATCAGAAAAGGCCAGAGAACTCCAGTGTGTATGAACCAACACTGTGCTTCAGAGATTATGAGTACTCTTATAGCTTGAGCTAATCTCTGTATTCAGCTGTTACTTCCATGGCCATCATCATGCCTACTCCATAGACATATCTGAATGTCTTCTGGTTCCTGCTGTAGATGTGTTTCAAACTAATGTGTTACTCTCTCTGACTGCTTTTTTGGCAATTAAGTGAAATTAAGTGAAATAATGAATGAGATAGGAAGGAAATAGCAGGGTTTCGCAGCAGCAAATGAAAGGCTGCTGGGGAAGATCCTCATTATTTTAAGACTATCCATATTCTGACTTACTCCCATTTTAAATGTTGTGCTTCAGAGGGACATAAGTAGGCAAGGCTGAAAACAGGAAATAGGATTGACAAGAAATTCTACTCTAGTACCCTCTCTCACCCTCCCACGGCAGGATATGACCTTATGTTAAGAAGTTTCTCAGATTCATGTTTCTCACTGGAAACATCTTTGCATTACCTCATGCTTTTTACAGGTTCTTCCACTAAGTATAATGAATATATATGCCACAGTATATTAATATGCATTTCCTCCAGAAGCTTGATAAATTATACATTAACATAACAGTTTTAAATTTCTCTCATACCAAACACCATTTAGGAGCCACCTTCAGTTATTGCTCTGTAAATACACTCTTGCATAAGTATTAACTTAAATACAGTAACTGTTCCAGAAAAGGATGGATAGGACAAGGTGGGGGTTTTGTATTTCTACACAAATTCAGCTGTAATTTCCAGTTTGAGAGTCTTGTCCTACTTGGCTAATAGTATTAATACATGTGCTGCAAAGAGTACCTGTACTGATGATTCTTTGTAAGTGAATGACATTACACAAGAAATCATCTGACAATTGTCAGATGAAAATTGATTCAAAGATACCACAAGAACTCACTGAGTGCTATTAACTTTGCATTAATTAATCTTCAGAAAAATAAACATACATGAATTTCAGGACTGTTGTAGTTTAAGATCAGATGGAAATTAAGCACCATGCAGCCACTCTCTCAATCCCTTGTCTTCCCCCCACCCCAAAACAGCACTGTAACAGCTACTGAGAAGAAATTAACTTTACCCTAGCTAAAACCAGGACAAATACACATCTGAGAACTCCAGCACATACTTTTAAAAGCAGTTTGCAGATTTCATATTTTCCTTTTGCTGCTGCTTCATGTAGAGGAGTGAATTTCCACAGGTCGGCCACGTTGACAGAAGCACCATGCCTGACCAAGAGTTCAGCCACTTCGTAGTGTCCATAAGAACAGGCGTTGTGCAGGGGTACTAAGCCACTAATCAAAGAGAAAGTATTAAAAGCTAAAGAGAATAAAATCCAATATGCAATCCTATAAAGTTCCAGTAGATAAAACTCCCACTTCACCAGACATTATTGGTAACTTTCAGTCTTTCCAGTTTTCATGGTTTTATTTCTCTGCTATTAAAATATCAATTAAAACTTAATTATCCTCCTTCAGTTCTCATCCACGAGACTCTTAAATACTTAGCAAGCCCAGCTGTTACTGCTTCCACAAGCACGTAACTTCAATGCTGTTAACAACAGCGAAAATCTAAACTGCAAGACTCACTGTTGTTCTCAGTTGGATACTGAGTGTAAATTCCGGAAAAGGTATAACACTATATAAAGTGTTTGAAGTATAGTTATTAGGTAAGCACTGCACACCTGACAGATACAGAAAGATGCCCAAAGATTTCTTTCAGGAAGAGTCTGAAAATTCAGTATGGGAAATTAATTATCCCCCACCCCAAACTAATATATTGGAGTGAAAGATCAAACATAATCATGCTATTCTACATGACTGCTTTGCAATTAATGCAAAAACCTGTAAATGGTTCATATCATTTAACTGAATATTAACTCAATAAATAACTTAATAATAAAAGCTAACTAAAAGAATTAGGAAAATGACCAGAGATAACCCTAGTATTTTACCCCATTCTATTCAAAACTAATTTTAGATCACCTAAAACAAGTTAAAGGCTGCTTTTAAGCACAACAAAGTCTCCAAAACGGGCAAAAGGGAGAAGTATCATGTACTACAGTGTACTTGATGATGGCTTTGCCAAAAAGCAAAGTATGCCTTAATGGTCTATAAATCTCCCTACAGCATAGGAACAAAGCAGAACATGAAGAAAGGAAAGAGAAAAATTTTCAAGAGAAAAACACGATGGTTACTGAGACCTGAGCAAAATGAATATGCAGGATATAAGTCTCACACTAACAGAAAACAGCATCTCATGGAATTCAATGTACCCTTTATCTTTGGCATGCACATCTGCTCCATGGTGCAACAGATACTCCACCACTGATACGCGGTTATAGCCTGCAGCAAAATGCAGTGGCGTTGAATGACGGCCTTCCAGATCTCTACAATTCACATTCTGAGGGCTGCAAAGTTGCTGCAAAGACAAAAATAGCCAAAATCTAGTACGGAACTAAACCAAACAAATAGAAAAACTCCACAAAACCAACCAACAACAGCAAAACACCAAACAAACCAACCCAAAAGAAAAAGCCTAAACTACCACCTCCAAAGACCCCAAACCATTTATTATTATATACAAATTTTCAGAAGTTAAGTATCAGGAAATTTGTTTGCACTTAGATAAAGTTAAAAAAATAACTGCTCTAAATTTATGGCTGAAAGTACCTCTATGAGAAACAAGACTTAAATGATGGAAGCAGTATGAAAAAGTTCCTAAGGTATTAGAAAGGGTGAACCTCTACATCATCAAGTACCAGTTTCAAGGCCATGTAATTTCTTCCAGATATGTTACCATTTCCAGTCCATGCTGCCTTCAGAAATCTAGAAATATTGAACTTAGCAGTCAGAGGAGTTGCTGGTGCACAAAACTGCTGCTGTTTGAATATTAATATATATCATGTTGAAGCTCAAGGCGGGAATGTATGCAGAACAGTCTATAAGCAGACCGTTGTGCCCACACATCAATCACGAAAGACAAGATCAAACCTTCCCATGATGTTGGGAGTCCATGGCCTGATCCTTCACCTTCAGATGAAGGATGGCTTAAAACAAGAAGTCTGCTACCTGTTAATAGTGTTTGCTTGCCTTCTGATTGAATCATGCACTTGAGGCTTGTTTCTACTAAACTGATTCTGCAAATCACAGGGTTCACTTCAAAGAATTATGGCTACATCTGAGTCCATCAAAGACATGGCTGCGTGAAGGACTGGTAAAATGAGCAACCAAAAACTCAAGAGAAACACACCTCAGCATTTTTTATGATGTAAGTTTCACTGGGCATTACATCCACAACTCTCATAGCACAGGCTTCCACAAGCCTTGCACAGTGATGCAAAGTGGAAAATTAACATGAATTGCTGAAACCTACCTTCACAGTTTCCAAGTCTCCAGCTTTGGATGCTTCTAACAACCGATAATCCACATCCGATGTGCGCACAGGTGTACTTTCTACACAAGGAAAAAGATGTTTAGGATTACTTAGGATAATTAAGTTATATTAACTTGTGCTCAACATATTTTCCAAAATTGGGGGGTGGAGTTGGTTTGTTGTAATCTGTAAAAACGCAGTTGGGGTTGTGATGTTCAACAAAAAAGCTGAATAAGGAGTCTTAGTTTCAGTGTAAACCAGTAAGTTTTCAACTCTAGAGCTGACATTCTTCTCTCTCAATCCACATACATACATTCATGTGCACATTTTAAACAGGTAATGCTATCTCAGGAGTGGGTACACTTCAAAACAGTCCTTCCTTGTATTGCTGTAAAATGCTTTTTTTTTTTGTCCTGTTTTAAAGCAATAAAGTTGAAAACATTGGAGGAAATGGAGTTTCTAGCTACCACAGATCTCATCTATCTAGATATGTGCCTTTTCTTGACTACCTGCACATCTCACTGTAAGGTGAGTTACTTCCTCTGTAGTTGCTACTGATGCAATTATTCTTCTCTGTTCTTGCAAAAATTCAAATGTAACATGGGTAAGAGGATGCAAACCCTTAAGCACTTACAGGAAAAATAGTGGCACCCTCTTTAAACATTCATTCACTTCTTCAACGCAAGATATAAACAAATTGTTATCTACGCAGTTTGTTACCTAAGCACTTCAACAATAAAATCTTTCTCTGCTGGACAAGTGAGGGATTTGAAGTAAAAGTCCAAACAGCTTAGCAAATATCAGTATTTTTCTGCCTGTAACACACTACTTGTGACTGCTAAAGTATAGAGTACCTAACAGGGAGGCCGACGAAGGGAAAAAGGTTTCCCACATGCTCAGCAATATTCCAGTTGCCTTGGAACTTGCTACCAAAAAAGCCCCAAAACTCCCTACATGTGCCTTCCTACAAGCTCCCTGTATAGCAGCATGCTCTAAATCTACAAGAGGTTTATTTTCTTCCCAATTTGCACAAAATAATTGAACTGATCAGTGCTCTTTATTTACGTATTTATATTTTCTGACAAGTATCACACAGGGATAGACGAGAAAACTACTGCAAGTCTCTTACATTGAAAAAGAAATAATATCCAAAGCTGTAAAGGGAGAAACCGAAGTTCAAATACACAATCCTTTATTTTTACCCACCACTTAGAATCTGTTGCACTGCTTCATTTCCCATCTGTGCTGCTGTGAAGCCTTGTAAAGAGATGATGGAAGGATCAGAGCCGTAACTCAGCAACAGCCGGCAGGTTTGCAAGTGACCTGCTAATGCAGCCCTGTGCAATGCTGTTTGACCAAGTGTGTCCAGTGCATTCATCTGAAAAATCAGCAGCAATATAAAATAAAACACTGGTATAATTAAAAGCCTGCACCTGTCCCTGTCCTTAATAAGAAGAATTTTCTGACAGACAAATTTATCTTTCAATTCCTCTGCACTGAAATTAAACAAAACAAAATGACAAAATAGGAAAACACTCCAAAGGAAAAATAATTTACCGTAGATATTTTCATGTCTTTTAACAACAGAGATTATTTGTTTGCAGAGCTAGCAGACAACACCATAACTAGCAGATCCCCAAACTAGCAGATCCCCAAAACCATACTTAAAATAGTGATCAAGCTTTTGAAAAATTCGATGAAGCTGACCTTGTGCAAGAAAAGCAAAACTATCACAGAACAGCAGAAGGACGTAAACAGTTTACCAAAAAATTCGAAGATCTTCCAGCTTTAAGGAAATTACCATCTCTCATTCTCAGAAGGAGAATTAACTCAACATTACACACTACCAAGTATTAATGCAAAACAAAGATGTCAAACTAGGAATTCTATGAAGGGTGGGGGAAAAAACTTGGATACAACAGTCCATTTCCTCCTCATTTTTTGTGCCTTTACAGAAATGTTAAGTATAACTGGATATAATTCTACTCAATACAGGATTGCATAAACAGGCAAAATGGAGTATTGCTTTCAAAGAGTATGAGATAATGGAAACATATCTGTCTGTCAAGATCTAAAAGAGTACCTAAATAACTAGAAGCATCTCCACTGGTACACTATCAAAGAAAGGCAAAGAATAATAGAGAGCTTTAAAAAGCGGAAAAACACCCCCATAAAAATAACCTTTCAAGAAGATACTCGGTACCTAGCAGCAATTCATTACAAATTTAAATGCTAATGCCCAACAGCTTTTTTACCACTTTATGAAATACAGAACTACTCTATATTCTCTCCAAGCAACTCAGAACCTGTTATCTGTTTCCAAGCCTACAGATTGCAGGCTGTGAACTGCATGCATAATAGACTTTGTCCTGTAAAAACCCCACCCTTCTACCTTCTCAAAATCTTTGTGGTGGCAGCAAACAAAGGTTTTGCTTGCTATTTATCACCTAAAATGCAGCATGCAAACCCTACTACATTTCCACAAAAACAAATGAAAAAACGTCTTGGGTAAGACACATATTCTATAACTAAATTAAATTTAATTAAAGGAGTAACTATGTAAAGCTCTACTACCAAATAGGGTAAAAAAATAAGTACCTGCAATACTACAATATCAAGCCACAGGAAAGAACAAAGAACAACCAATTGAATAAAGAGAAGCATGATTCAATGTAGTCTGAAACTATTTTAAAGACTGATAAAGCAAAAATTTCTCAGATCACAAACCTCTCTTACAGGAAGATGGACAGGAGAACAGTTCTGCTTTCTTCTAACTGTGCTCAGCTCATGCCACTCTAATGGGATTGCCCTAAAAGTTTTGTTTCAAATAAAAAACTTACTGCTATCATGAATATTAAATAGATGCTGAATGTCCCAAATCCATCATTTTGTTTAGATGAGGATACTCATCTACTTCAGGACACTGGATACCTTTCAGCACTGAGAAGGGCCCAGAGGAAAGCAGAGGTCTGGGGCTATACATGTTTAGTGATGGTAGAGGCAGAATGAAATGAGATTTGTGAATTCTGGAAGTAGCTGATAACACTGTTCATCCAAGAAAGAAAATCATAAGTAATGCCTTCTTTAACACTGAATTCCTGTGTTAAACATGCCTGTACTGAACAAACTGTAGGAGCAACAGTAGCAAGGCATTCACACTGCAGAACTTGATACTGACTAAGTCCCTGGAAAAAATGTTAATATTCATTTGAAAAGAACACTGTCACAGTCATCAGAGCCATCATCTCACATGTCTTATCCAGGTCTCCTTTCACTTCCAAATCATTATCTTTGCCAGCAATCAATTCTAGTGGCAGAAGAATGTCAGCCATTCAAAGAAATACCTGCTTGCTTCTGAGACAAAAAGGGCTGCAGCTGACAGAGGGATGCATGCACCAAATGCAGCTGCTCTTTACCTCAGAAGCAGAATAATGCTTTGCAGGGCAATTTCACTGGGAATGTGTTCACTTTGGGGCAGGTCTTCTCTCACCAATAATGCAACACTTGTCTAAAACCAACTAAAGAGTGTACTCCAATAAGGCTGGAAGCAACAGGATTTATTTCCAAATGAAAACCAACTTAAGCACTACAAACTGAAATATAAAACTGAGATTAAAGTCTCATAAAACCCAAATCTGGTACAGCATATGCTTGGGTTAACCAATGTTTGATACCAGGTCTAAAAACATATGCCTTTTCAAATTCAGAGCTAGAGTTTAAACCCTATTTGACAAAATATAAAATATCCAAGGTGTACTGCCTTATTTGTGCACTGGGAAGGCAGATTGTTCCAGCTGCACTTATCAAAAAAATGATAAATATTCATTTAGTCCCCTTTATAGGCAGTCTGAAATTAGAAGGCTTGCAGCTCTGAATTATTTTACAGAGAAGTTTTCTGCAAGGAGTTAAAAATCCCACGTTTGACAGCTTTTATTCCACAGGACACTGGCTTTCAATCTGATTTCTTCACCTTTTAGCATGAAAGGAGTCATTCCACTGCGCAAAACACAACGTAAACACAGAATGCAGTTATCAAATGAAGAGCCTTTAAGTAAGGCTTTTCACAGAAGGATACTGTCCTATACAATATTTCCCAATGTAGAGTTCCTTCTGTTCTTTCCTTTCATCCCCTTCATTTCCTTTTCCCCATCCTGAACAGACACAGTAGAGAAACGGAAATGGTCATGTACCATCAGACACCGCAGAGATTTCCCCTTCCCCCAATGCTGCTCTCTTGGAGCAATGTACACAGTTATAGCAATATTCCCTTGGCTGCCAGGCACTTGTGGCAGCTCAACAGCTGGGACCTGTTCAGGAAACATTTTTTGCAAGACTTCATAATCATATCAGCTTTCTGTCAGTATCAAATGCCCTAAATATCCTCCTACTCCTTGATACTACAGCAGCACAAAAAGCAACAGCTTCCAAGCGCAGCAGCTTTCTCTGTGAGATCTTGTTAGAAGATGTACACTCTAAAAATCACATGTGAAACCTGTGCTCAGACAACGGTTCCAGTATCAGAGTATCCTTCCCTGCAGTGCAAGTGTTCTAACTGCTCTCCTGATGCATTAATTCTGAAGACAAGTTGCAGTACGTCTTGTGTCTTTGCACATTGCTAACAATAAACACGACAGGAGTGAAGAGGCACTGGTGACAATTTTAAGCTTTGTCAGCAGGAAAAAAAGCAATAAAAAAGGGTGAGTTTCACTCTGAAAGCTCTTACATGATCCAGTCAGATGTTCCACAACTGCCCCTTCTGCATAAAAGCTTAAGATTAATGTCAGGATGTTTGCGTTTCTCAGCACTGAGAAAAGTTGAACCACTCAATCACAACAGATCACACAGTTCTTCACATAATGTTAACTGTTATAGTCCAGAACCTACTTTATGAAAGGAAATTTCATTTTTCAATGCTTACTGTTTTCTGAGAAAATTGTATCTCTACCTGAAGTATTGGACGCAAATGTATTATACAACATGGTTATTCAAAACCATTTCAGTTTGTTGTGTTGGTCTAGACGGATAGTGAGCATTTTCAAACCCATGATCAAGAAAGGTTGACAACATGCTACTCCAATGCACAGAAACCTCTGTATTATGCAAAGATCCATAAAGCAAGATCCTCCCAGTAGAGCAGAATGAGGTCATTTGTGCTACCATCATGAATAGGGACACTATCTCTCTGACATGACCTTCGAAAGGGTCATTTTCTCTTGCAGAAGAATGGTTTCAACAGTATCCTTTAGAGGTGTATCATAGTTAAAGAGCATTCATGACATCTCCACACTTGCCCAAGATAGCAGTGAACTTGCATGCGTAAAGGTTTTTCTTTCCAACAATCATTACAATTCAGAAAATACTCTAATTCTGGTCTTCTGCACTACTACAAAGCTGAATGTCTTTCCAAACATATTAAATTTCCCATGTATCTGTAAATTCAGACAAGGAGTTGTAAAAAATATTCAACTACCTAGCAATACAACAAAACAGGATGAAACTCACTTTTTCACCAGCTCACCACCTTCAAATTATTTTATTTTTAAACAAAGGATTTTGATCATCTTCAAAGATAAAATTGTGGCATTTGAAGATTTGCTCATCGTTCTAATAAAAATTGTTTATGTTTGAGGATTCTTTAAATATGCTCTGCTTTTATTTTTCATATGGTACTTTGAGGATATTCAACATCAAATAAGCTGTGATGTGAAATGCTGTCTGACACTGCAGTTCAGGCAAGCAAGTAAAAACTGGATATGACAGTTAAAACCACAGATATTTATGATCAACATTCTTGAAGAAAATTCTAAGAAATACCAAGGTTTCTTACTTGTGCTTTAGATGTACAATTGACAGTCAACTTCTGCAAACTCAAGCAACAAGCTAATGAAAATATCTTCCAGGGCACGTGTATTGCTTAGCAATAACATGCTGATGTGCAAGGCACATGCACCAAGGACTTCTTTACAGTTCAAATTATGAACCTAGTTTATGCTGTCAGTAAGGGCCAGCATGACACACCAAAATGAGCAAGTTGTGACTTTAGGTTAATTCTTGCCAATGCTAATGTTCTTAGAAATCTTTTTGTAAAATAAGTCTAGATCAAACACATGTTTTTCGAGCAGTCCTTCACTGTTTATTATCGTTTAACCTACTTCAAACAGCAAATGTACACAGTGATAAAATTAAATCCAGCTCCAAGACCAGTAACCATCTCTTGTTCATCCCCAGAAAATTCCCTAAAGCAGTCTTTGCCATGCTACAGCCCTTTTTGCAGAACAAGAAAAGGCTAAGCAAACATGCATACTTCACTTTAGCCCACTTTCGCTGTCTGACTCAGCTGCTCCTCAAGGAAACAGCAGAATTTCCTCTCTATTGCTAATATAATCACAAATTATTTTCAATCTTCAGAACTTGATATGACTTTGTCTCCTAAATCTATTACTGGTTATTTTGTGGATCAGCTGTCTGCCTTTTGGCATGGAATTTCAGAAGAAGAAAGTTCCATGTTCTTTGAAGCCCCAATTACGCATATTTTTCAAATTGCTACTCTCTCTATAATCAGTAGTTGTTTCCAGAAGGTAGATTAAAGCTGACTTGTATAGTACCTCTCCTTTGAGAGAAGAAATGACTGCAAAGTAAAAAAAAAGACATGGTAGCTGCCATCCATACACACTTCAGAAAGCATTTGATATGGGATCACATGTGAAATATTTTATATGGAAAAAATAGGGATTGGTTGAAGAACTGAATGTACTGAAAGTGGGAAGGCTGCTCAGTGGTTGGTTGTGGGACAATTTTGTTCTACTATTTGTATTAATGATCTTGGCACAGGAGAATTGTGCTGAAGGGCAAAAATACACAAAATTAGCAAAAAAAAAAAATCAAGATTCTCTGTGCACTACAAGATTATAGGAAGGATCTGAGTATTACTATCTCATGTCTATTAAAAAGGCAAACATGATCCCAGTATGCATCAGTCCAGCATTTACATCAGAGATATGGAAGTGCCATCATGGAAGGCAGTGGGGGAATGAATTCCATTCTTGTTGCCTGAGCTCCAAGATTTCTTCTGGTGCTAGTAAAAAGAAGGAGATATAAGCACAAATAGGAAATGGCAATGTTCCCTTATGAAGGATGACTAAGTGTTTGAGGCTTTTAGCCTACAAAAACAAAGGGTTAGAAGAATCAGTTTGTTCACTGCAAATACCTCACCAAAGGAAGCATCAAAATGAAAAAGATGTATGTAAAATGCAGGAGAGTGCTGTTCGAAGCTGCTATTGCAGTGGGACTAGATCCACCAGCTTGTGAGAACCCTCTCTTGTAAAAAATACCAACTAAACATGATCAAACAGCTTAGTACATCTGGTTACATCTTATGAAGCAACTAAAATTCTAGGCACAAAAAGAGTAAACATTAATAAAAAACTTCCAGAAATACAATAAATTAAAAAAAATAAAATCAAAAACCTGTATCACACTTCAGGGATTAAAGCTACCATGTCCCAACAATCAGAAACAAAGAAATATCAATGTTAAAAGTATCTGATCAACTGAATGTCCACAGTGTTGAAAGCAAGAGGTCAAATGATATATCTAAGCAAGACAAACATTTTAGAGTAATTAAATATGCCTAGTTAACTAATAAATACTCTTGAGCATATCTCATCTGAGAACTTCAAAGTGCCTCATAAAACCTTAACGATCTACCTCTCATTAAAAATTATGGTTGCATTATGTACTGTTTTACAGCTAAGAAACTTCGGACACTGATAAAGAGGGACCTGATCCATTGCAGTATGGAAATATATACTTAATATTAACTTCAATTGGTCTCCTGCCATGCACTTAAGTGCTTTGCTAGATCATAAATGTGAGCGGTTATCCTCAGAATAACACAGGATGCAGGATATGAATGAAGAATGAGGTTTAATGACCACCTCTATTTGCATACTGTCGATGGAATAAACAACAGAACACAGCGCTCGCTCTGTAGATAACCGTGGGCCATTCACCACCATCATTCAGTCCACAAGTGATTCACAGATCATGATTTAAAAAATCCTGCTTCAGGATATAAAAGCTATCAAAAGAACACACTACTGACAAAACCAATAAAATGTGGTCTTCCAGTAAGGATGACATCTTTGAGCTTACTCCTAACCTGACTACACTGAGCTAGATTTTCAAGGGAGCACTAATTTAAATACCTAAAGTATAGTAGCAGGTTTTCCAGAAAGCCTCAGCGCACACAAACTACTTGTATTTCAAAGCAGATAGTATGTTGGTATCAGTACATTTGAAACTCCAGCATGTCCAGTTCAGTGCCTGACCAAATACAATCAGTACTCAATTCCTGTGCAAAATCAGATCCATAAAGCCATGAGGTATCTATTCAAAATATGGCAAAAATACTTTTTTTTCACTTCCAATGCATAGGTATGCTACTAAGGGTGAATCTGGGAAAATAATAACGAATGGTTTTAATGACTATAAGCGACGTCTCTGGCCCTGCTTTCTTAGGAAGTTACCACTGCATCAGGATTCTCAAATGTGATAAACTCTGCCATAGTATTGTTGTTAAGCTATTTTACAATGCCATTAAAGTACTGTGGAAGTGAATCAGATACTGAACTCTGACAGTGAGATCTCATACAGGCTTATAAATTAAAACTCACTGATTCAAAATAAAAAGACTTAGTATTAGCTATGTATACAACTACATTGCTCTTACTTCCTATCACAGCAAGAGTGACATTAGCTTGTTATTACAGGTATATTTCTTTATTTCTAGCTTCCTGAATGACAATGAAGACTCAAAAAAGAGTAATCTGAGCCCTATTAAAAGCAAAAATAAGGAGATCATTTATATTTTAACCAATACAAAGAAAGTATCCACCGAGAAGAATTTCTGAGAAAATTCAGTAGCTAAGTATATCATTACCATAAACGTCAAGTTTGCTGCTAAAACTCGGAAAAATATCATTCTGAAATACTTCTGAAAGATGCTTAAACCACATTCTAAATAAAGTTATACTTTCCTATGCCTTTAACTAATAATTTGCTGAACCATGCAAAGTTTCTAAACAAGCTTCACCGTAAGTTCACAAATTACTTCAGTCAGCACCTATCGACAGTTAAAGGGCACAGCAAAAGGATCTCACTGAGAGAATAAGAAGCAAGCAAGGGCTAAGGCATACTCAGCATTAGACTACTACACTCAGTGTCAGCAACCTCAGACATTGGATATTTTCTACAAGATAAAGCCAACAAGATAAAGCAAGAAGAGGCAACTAGATGACCACATTTATTAGAAATTAGTAGCAAGATTCATTAAAAATTAGTAAGCTAGACTCCTAAAACCTGTATTCAGATACCTGGAGAGAAGACCTAATTTCAAATGCGCTTCCTGAAGATCCTGTACTGATTTAAGATAAACATTCTTCAAGGTTAACACAAGAAGCACAAGGCATACAGAATAAAAAGCAATAACTATCATAAAAGCTAACACGGTATTTAACCAACATAACCCTTCTTCTTGTCTTTTGCCTTAAATAAAATACATGTAAGTATATTTACCTTTGCTCCATGTTTATGCAGAACTTCCATGACATCATTATGAGCTTTTTCAGCTGCAACATGTAAAGGTGTCATGAAGCTAGAGAAATAAATAAAAAAAGATATGTTTTACACTTCTAGTATGACAGAGTCTTTTGGAAAATTCAGAAATTTCAGAAACGTACTCTTTGTTTTTCTCATTAACATTTGCTCCTTTCCTGAGCAATAGTTCTGTAACTTGCTTCCGCTTGGGATGCACAGCAGCCACAGCACAATGCTGCAAAAAAAAGTAAATATAAATTATATTTCAACTACACTGATGACAAAGAACTTAAAGATACATTACTTCATCTCTTAATTATGCTGCTAAAATCAGATGACAGAATTTACGAACAGAATCCATCATATTTCTGCTGAAACTTAACATACTGAACAAAATACAAGCTAGTGATCAAGGCCAAATTATTCTACTCAGAAAAACAGTTTTCACTTTAAAGCTATTTGTCACTTACAAAAAAAGCGGTATGGTCCCAAATACATTAACCAGCTATCAGGCCAAAACTGACACATAACGCACAAAGGAGGTAAAGACAAACTGTTTGAAACAGCCTAACTTTCTACAGAGGTCTTCCAAAGGAATCCTTAAGATTCTGCTGCTCATGTTAGATTGACGTGACTTGTATGTTTCTTTGTTCCTTCTTCTACTTCCAAGTGTCCTGAACTTGTTTTCGGCTATTTGTGTTATGCACCCAACTACAGATTATGTAATAAGCAAACAGGCAATAAATTTCTCTTACAGTCACTTTTTTCCCACGCTGTGAGAAAGACAGACCTTTCACATAGGGCTTTTCAATGCTCACACCTGCCCTTGTGGGACACAGCCTGCACAGCCCCTTGCTAGGTGTAACTATTCTCCTAAATGCAGCTGGCATCTGCCACTGTTTCTCAACAGTGGCTCTATAAATGCATTCCTGAGGCCTGAAATTACCAGCATGGTTCCAGATAAGATTGAACAGCAGGCTTTAAAATCAGTCCAGAAATGTCTGTTTCAAGTTTGGATGTCTCAAGAAAGCAGACTATAAGAAATAGGAGAAACTTTTGGATATTTCTGTTAACATGTTTACCAATGTTTTAAACCAGTAACCCATAAAACCCCATAAAAACCAGAGTTCTCTAAATTTCTAATAGTAAAACAACAGCCTTTACAATGAGATAGAACCCCAAACCCAATGCTAATAAGCAGCAATAACCATCTTTTGCCCAGTTTCAGCCTTCATTAGGAAGTAACTTGCACTCAAGCTTTCATATTTTTGTTGGTCAGCAGGGCACATCCAAGTTTTGCAAAGGCAAGCTTTGCAAATAAACAAAGATCAACATTTGCTTTGAAGAGTAGCAGCATTTTTAAGGCTTTGCAGATAACATCCTATCTATGTTTCCTGCCAATATGATGAACAAGCCCTAAAACCCACAAAAATGTGAAATACTGCCAAACTTCAGAGCAACACTGAAAAAAACCCAGGTACTTGTTTTGGTCTTTGTGGGGTAGTAGGGCACAGACCCCAGTGGCCCATGGTAAACAATATCATGCTTAGGGCAGGAATAGCTCAGTTAGATTGTACATAACGTCATCTGATCCTGGAAAATAAGTCCTTCCACTTGGACTGGAGACCACTTGGAAATCTCAAGTACAGGAGGCAAAAATTGAAAAATCACAGTCAAACACTTACTGAACACTGAAACAAATACATCAGTAGAGCTAAAATATCCCGTTTGGCCCAGCTGTCTCTGCAGAATGAGCAGGCGGAAAAGAGCAAAGAACATCATAGGACTATGAAGTGATCATTACACAGCTAAAGAGATGCCACACAGCTGATATACTCAGGAAGAAAAGGATAACATCATTGCAAATTTCGTACTGCTTTCACATTCAGTCTATAAATCTCTCTTCTCTATCTTGCTTCTAAGTTCAGGCTAGGATGCTGAGTCCTCCACAGAGGAAACAGAACATATGGATGCTTGGTACTCAACACAGTGTTCTGATCACAATCACAATGTTTGTAACCCTAAATATGCAGTTGTATCAGCCTGCAGTTGAGATCTACCACTGTGAAGAAAATGTTCCATTGGAATAAAGTATCATAACTATAGTGGTTTTAATAATACCATCAGTCCCACTCAGCTTCAACATCTTCATTGCATCTGGGATACTGGCTGTGTTCTTTGCCTCCACTGCTGCTTCAAACAATGAAATAAGAGCAGGATACTGCCAGGAAAGTCTCAAAGACCCCTGTTTCCATAGCTATTGTGGCACTGTCAGTATTATTCCAATCCTGTAAGACCCTGTGATATACACCTGTTTTCAAAACAAGTTTACATACTCTATGAAGAAAAATTGTAATCCAAGTTTGTCCATATAAAACATGAAGGAAACACTGGACCACAGGACAGAATTTAACCCCAGAAAAAACACAGCAACTGACCAACAAAATAAGAGGGTGATGGGGAAAAAATAAAGAGAAGTGAAAAAAGGTGGGGAGTAGCTGGAGGGCTTCTGTAATCTACCAGAAGGAAGAAAAAAGTTATAAAATAATTTATATGGTGTTTTTCTGTAACAGTGATTTTATTTTAATATATAAAGTGTTTGATGGCAAATCCTCAATTTCAGATGATGAATGTATTTTCATAGTGTAGAAATAAAACTCCTTGACTGCAAAACTATCACCACATTTATCATAAAACAAATGGATTGACTGTATAATCTTACCAGTGCAGTCTCATGAGACTGTGGCTGCTTAAAATTAATGATTTCCAAAGCAAGTGTCTTTTTCACTTTGGCTAGGTCTGCCTCTCTGGCTGCTTGCAGTAAAGAGTGTCCTTTGAATTCATCTGTTAGAGGAAAAAGATGCATTTAATATTCAGCAACATGTCACATTTATAAATGTTATAGGAGAAAGGTAGCTATACTCAATTATGAGGAAATAGGAGTGTTTCTGCATGTCTTCAGGTAGTAGTTGACCTGGACACAGAACATAAAACATGTTTTGCTGAAACCAAAGGGACGTTCTAAAGGAGAGGGGAAGTGATTCCTTGAGTAAAATCCTTATAGCTTTTCCTCCTCTTATCCTCCACTCACTTGACATTAAATGCATATGTGACCTCTAAATTACCTATGTATGAGTTCAAGTGAGCACAGTGCTATGGCATATTCTTCAGAAATAACGCATTACTGTAGCTTTTCAAAAACCCTATTGTATTTAAAATGACAAAAAATTCACTGTAAAGCCTAAATAGATACAATTTGTATAAAATTATAAATAATAACAAGAACAACAATGCATAAATAAAATATTAAACTATTGGTTTTAAAGAAAGCTAACTGGCTAAGCATTTGAAGCCAGTCTGCTATGAAGATGAGAGACAGGTTTTGACAGTAGATATGTCTTTGCAAGTACAGAGAAGTAATTTTGTTATGTTCACATCTTGTTTAGGTCAGCAACTAGTTCATTTTAGTCTTAAATAACTTTGAATGTGAAAACGAATGAGAGTGTTTCTCTTAAAATGTACATATGAAAGGTAGGTTAGCAAAAATGATGCTTGACCCCGGGAACTAGGAAAAAAAACACCTTGATTTCAGTAAAAATATCAGTATTTTTCTTTCATAAGCGAGCTTGAAATACAAACTTGTTAAAGAGGTGTTTTCTACTCCTAGCTTTGTTTTAACATCTCGCGTATTTGTGGATTTCTACATAAAAATAAATATTAATAACTTCTAAATTTTAATTTCAAATATAATTTATTTGTAAACAGAGCATTACTCAAAGCACAAGGACAAATAAATCCTGAAATAACAAATATAATGTAATTTTATTCCCAAAGTACAAAAATCAAACAACTCAAGAAGATAATAAACATGATATTTGGCATATGAAAATACAAGATGTCCCATCAGGATACTGTCAAATTTGACATAACAGTCACATTCGTATACAAATTTCAGTGGATATTAAGGGACGTGAATCTTTCCCCATTACTCTTGAGGAACTATACATATAGAAATAAAACAAAGTTTAAACAGATTTTTTTTTTGCTTGTTAACTTAAGTATATGGTAAATTAACCTTCCTCAGAGCCAGAAACATCTTTCACTTTAGCCCAGAATACAGGCTAGAGAAGTAGGTAAAAGGTACTAATGTCCTCCTCTTTTCTCCTAGATTAAAGTTTTCTGCTTTCTCACCACCTTCACATGCAAACAATAGTGACAGACTAAAACCTGACTATCTGTGATTGAGAGTAGTGCAGGATCACATGATTAGCGTCAGGGGGCTTCTGCTCTACTGGAAAGGTGACAGACAAAACCAAAAACTTTATAATTGAGAATCTAGTTCTCAAGAAGTTTTCTGTAACTTCATAATACTCTGTTTCCATACTTGTCTCAATTAATTATCTTTTACAGTTTATTACACTGAGAAAACAAATCCCTCAAAGAGAGCTAGCAAAGACATAGGAATTCAAATTAGAGTTGAAAGACTGTTTTGTAAGCAGCATAAGGATTGCAAAGACTGCAAAAGAAGGTGATGGAATTTCAATCTCCAAGTTTGCACACCGAAGGTACCTATGCTTTTGAAGTTTCCATTTAAGTGCAATAAAGAGCCTCAATATAGAGGCTCTTATGTGACTGAACTGGACTTCAAGCATTAAAAAAACCACAGTCACTGATTCAGCAGTGCCTTAATAATTTTAAACTCAAGAAAACTGGGCAATATCACAAACAGTATATTAGAGGTACCCGCATACTTCAAAGTGAGCAGCACAGCTGCAGCTCCTCTGCTGCTTTGCATCTAAGGAAGCAGTCCTGAAAGGAAAGCATCCCTTTACACCCACCACCGTCTGCAGTCTGAGAACACTTACAGGTCAGTCTCTCCCTGAGCTCAGGCGTCGGAGCCATATCAACCGCGCTCTTGCCGTGGCAGTTGACCAGCGTGGGATCTGCGCCGTGGCTCAGCAGGAGGGAGCAGACCTCCACGCGGTTCTTGGAAGCAGCCTCGTGCAAGGGGGTAAACTGCCAGAGGTCCATAGCATTCACACAGGCACCATGCTAGCACAGCAAATAAAGCCTTGGATTAGTAAGAAATCATCTTCTACAACTAAAAAGCTTGCAAATTTTCATTTTATTAAATAAAATTGGTTCCACTCTTTCATATATGAACACATACACAAAAAAAATAATTAAAATATCAGTATACACAAAAATACTGTTGAATCCTCAAAAAAAATTTGGAATTTCTGTGTAAGTTAATTTTCCCATGGAAAAATTCAAATAAATTAAACTCTACTCTCAATCCAAAGAAATCAGGTGGGGAAAAAAACACGTACACTGTTCCACACAAAGACCTAAAGTTGCAGGCTTCTGAAATAACAATAGGATGTTTGAAACCTGTTACTACAGAAAAACAAAGGTCTTGTTTTTCAACTCCAGTATAAATAGTTCATATCTCACGAATACCTAAATCTACAGTAATTACTTTCCATCCTTCTGCTTACCTTAAGCAGCAGCTCTGTAACCTCATAGTGTCCATATGAACATGCATTATGAAGAGGCACAAGACCACTGTATGGAAGAAGAAGGCAAATGACATTTATTTAAGGAAGGAGGAAGAATTTTCTCTCTACTGAGATGAAAAGATCAAGTTAAAGCTAAACTATTTATATAAAATTCACAAACTAATGGGAAAATCTGACTTTCCAAACAACACATTACTCAAGATTGACATTAAAACGTGGGGATTTGTTGCTTGGGAGTCTTGTTTTTGGGGGGCTTTTGTGTTAGTGATTTTGTCTTAACAGGCAACAGATGTTTAATTTACCATTAAGATTTGCATTAAGTGGCTTTGACATGATCTTTCTTGAAGCTATTAAGAAGGGGGAGAAGTCCTATTCTGCATTCCATTTGCTCACCAGTGTTCTGCTTCTGCCTAAATATGAACTCCTGTTTAAAATGATACGTGAAAAGCAAAATTCCCCAGATAACACTAACCTAACTCCTGGGTATATTATGAAGATGTAGAAATATCCATAGAAAGCAGACTCAAATTGCTGTTCCAGATTGTGGAATGACCTGATTTTACTCCATTTTTTATAGTACAACCTATTTAACTGTTCATGATACTTCTAAGAGAGTCCCTGTAATTTTTTGTACAGCTATGTTACTGCAGGCTATAGTTAAAACTGACACTAGCAAAGTAAATAACAGGGATTTGGTCATAAGCACAAGACTTAATAAAAAAGTCATGCATTGAAAAGGAGATGCAAAAAGGGCAATTATTGCTGAGAACAAAATGAGTTTAATTCAAGCCAAGCAAGACAGGCTACTTACGGATCAACTATGCACAAAATACTGAAAACAACAATTAACCCTTCACCATTTATGAAAAATACAGGGAGTGATTCCCAGAATTGCAAAATCAACTCAAAGAGCATTAGGACAGCAATTAAGTGAACTTAATTTTAAAGTAGTTGCTCTGAGAAGGAGCACTGCATTTGTCACAGGAGAGGGAAATTTGTTTGGGGAAATTTTCCAAACTGTTATTTTTCTATCATCGCTTTTCTTAATTACAACTTATGGGTGCATGTGTGGGACAGAGAGAGACTAGTCAGTCCACCGAGCACTCAAAAAACCTGCCCTCTTCCAAAATGATGGTCATCTCAAGGCCAGTAAGCAAAGACAATCACTACAGCAATGCACTTGGCCACTTTTGCAGCATCCCCTCCCCTTTCCTCTTCCAGCACATTGCAACTTTGTGTATAACAACTGTAAGGGAAAGAAAGGACCAGTGGAAAAAGAACTGCTTCCTTGGCAAGGCTTCTCTTTGGGAGTAACTGGAAGTGGTGACCATTTTGAAAATGCAGCCCAGTTCCTAAGGGCTCTCTTTAAACTGACCCCACTGAAGAGAACCTAAGAGGTCTATAAAATCAATGTAACCTAATTTAGCTCCTTAAATGAAAAGTGACATTTATTTATAGCATTATTTACCTATAAATTATGTATAAATAAGAAACAGCAAGGTAAAACAAAACAACACACTGATTGTAAATGTGTGATGCCACTGAAAAAAAGTGGGAGCTTACTAGGATGTTAGATATTTCTGAATACATTTGGGTTGATTTAAAGTTTAATACAGAGTAAGCATATTGGTTTTCCTTTCTTTGTTCCCTTTCTTTCCCCTCCTGCTCCAGTGCCCAGTTCAAGTTCAACTTAGTTACTTTTTACACTTTCCAAGCAGATCATTCAAACCTCATTACAGCATCTACACTGGAATTTTCTACCAACTGATGCTGAAATTTTTGAAAGGTGTAAAATACCTCAAACTTGCCTAATAGTGCTGGATCTACCTGAACAGGTACTATATAGAGCTTTATTGTGGGATTTTTGTGTTTTATTTTCTTCTTGTGGTTTTTGGTTTTGTTTTTTTTGACCTGCATAACATGTCATTATGCATTTCACAACAATTCTGATCTTAAAAAGCCATTGGGATGAATGGACGGACTGAAGTGCTACAATTAGTCAAACTTCAAGAGTTTAAGTACACTGAGGGCTGGTTTGGAAAGAAAGGAAAAAAGGAAAAAAGCTAAGAAGTTGATTAAAAATCTTTTAACACTAGGCTGGACTCAGCAGAAAATGAAAATATAGGAAGTGCCTCAAGTTTGCTCATGGAGACAGAACACAAACTCATTAATATCTTACTTCTGAATACAAAATGTATGCCTTTAACCGGAGGCTCAATTTCTACAATGTGAGGACTAAGCCCTTCTAACAGATCATCATGAAAATCATCACCTTACAGATAAGAAACGTGTGGCTGAGAACAATGCACAACATGTATAATTCCAGATTTCTGACTGCTGTGCGCTATTTATGATATCTTACCTAACTACCTACTGCAAAAATGGAATAGTTTAGCTTCTACTACATCTTGATTTTTGCTGGTAGCATCAATCAAGATACATCTCCAAGGACCACTAGTTGTGAGCACATGAGCATTACTGATGTCACTTGGAATTAGATCCATACATATACAACAGCATAATGAAACTACAGATAGGTTTTTCAATGCACATTTTTCACTAAGCCCCCGTATCTTCCCCCCCCTTCTCTAAAATAATGCTGTTAGTCCATGATTTCATAGGGTAGTCTGTGCATGGAAGTAAAAAACAAAGACTGGAAAAAAATTTCAAGTTGTGAAAAAAGACCTAAAACAAGTGCAACCATAACTGTTTGTTATCAGGGCTCTAACAAAGGTTCATTTACGATGAACCACACTCAGATTTTGGAAGCAAGTATCGCATTCTCAGCCAACTATTTGAGATTATGCTGCAACATGAACCAGAGAAATAAATCTTCATCTTGATTAATACAAAACCTCTGCTGCAAACAGATAATAAATCAGTTAATTTTACATACCCTTTGTCCTTTGCATGCACATCGGCACCATGCTGAAGCAGAAGCTGGACTATCCGAACTCTGTTGTAGCCTGCTGCTAGGTGTAAAGGAGTGGACTGTAAAAGAAAAGATGAAGAATGGGAGCCACATAAATTTTAACTCCTGCACTTTCTGCCATTGAAGTACTGTTAGTTTCTCTTACACATTGCATCAAGATAAGTTACAGTTCCCTTCTGTGACTAGCCAAATTAACAAATACACAGCACATGCAGGCCTCTCCTGTTGTCAGTCCAAACAAATGTTCCTTAATGTGGGGAAGAATACAGGTATTCTTTAAGGCAATAACAACCTCCTAGTTAAAACTTAATTTAAATTATGGCCCACCTTTGGTTTGGGATTTTTTGTTTGTTTCTTTTGGTTCTTTTTTTTTTTCTTTTGATGCCATAATTTTAGTTTTAAAATGCTGGAGTTTGAGGGTTTTTTTAACTCACAAGTAAATTTATACAGTTTAGGCTGAATACTCACTGGTTACAAGACTGCTTGTATGTACACTTGTTGCAAGAAGTGCACAAGAAGCAGACTGCAGAACAAGAAATAATGCATTTATCCCAAAGCAGGAATGTTTGTCTTCAGCTTCTCACCAAAAAAGTAGCTATATGTGTTCTGTACTGTACTGTGCTACGACACAGAGCAACTGTATGCAGTTTGCAGTTTCTTGCAAAATACAGATCTGCAGCAGTAACGCACCTTGCTGCATAACAGAGCAATAACACCTTTCTCCACAGATAACTTGTATGAATTTTAACTGAAAGCTTTTGAGTTGACAACAGTAATTCCCCTTGAAGTTTATTTGAAAAAGCTTTTTATTATGAAACAAATTTTGTGTGCTGTCTCAGCCTGAAAGGACTGGTTTATTACACAAATGGGTAACACTGTCTCAAATCTTCCATCACGAAGCCTAGCCATGATGATGATGGGTAACACTGTTTCCTTCTTCCCAAGGCTGAGCAGTAGACGATTTTAAAGCAATCTTTGTTGTAATTCGTGGCATGCAACCAAACAATACAATTTTATTACAGTAATACCCCATACATAAACTAGCTTGAAACATGGGAAAATTTACATAGCTCACAGTATTATGCCAAGAACAGATTTACTGTCAGCATTAAAACAGCGTTATACAGTATTACAAGTGAGACATCACATTTCACTATTATTTCCAGGAATACACATTTAGTATATCCATAACTTTTAGTAGTATGTATTATATTTCATTGAAGTCTCAACACATTGCTACTTTGCTCCAGAAAGAGTAACTACTTTGGCACCTACCACTTGTCCTGTGTATCACAGTGAGGACACAGCTTGTACTATCAGAAATAACAGCACAGGGCATCTCTGAGAAAAACATCTGGATAACTCAGTTAATTTAGGGAAGCAGTTATGCAAGTTTCCATAAGACCCATCTTCAGAATTAGCTATACTCAAAATAAGGATCTCTAACATCCCTAACCCAAAGATCCCCAAAGCATTTCCAAAGTACAAAATACCAACAGCAACAAAACATGTCCCACCTTTTAAGTATTTGCCCATTCAAATTGTTAGGATCTATTACTCTAAGAAGCTTCTACTACTGAATTAACAACTTACATTGATCCAGAAGGAATTACATTCTTTTTACATCTGCCCCTATTATAAAATAGCTGGCTTATGCATATCATAAACACTAATGAAAATGTGGATAAAGATGATGACACTATTGACATTAGCAGAATACTTCAGTACTGGTTATTCTGACAATTGCCTTGGTTTGGTTACTAAATCAAGCTTTATCAATCAAATTAGTAACTCTGAAAACCTGAAAGGAATCTGAAATGGGCTGCAGAAAAGTAAGTCTATTGAAAGGTCTAAACTCCAGAAGGAACTGGAGCAAGCACTAAATATTTGGACCACTGCAGGATCCTTTAACCTCACTACGATTAAACTACATCCATTCTTGTCTGTATGCCACTTCTAAAACAATGATGGCAGACTTCCAAAATGATGCTTTACTCATATTAAACATTATTAACAGAGATGTTCTCAATAAAGATGCATCAACCCCAGAGTCTTGTTCATTCCTTAAAATTAAAAGAAAAACTATTATGAACCAAGCTGGGACTGGGCACTTTGTATTTCTAGGATTAGTAGATCTGCACTTGCCAAATAACTTCATTAGAGAAGGAACCCAAAACATTTCAAGTTTATAGTCACAAGACAACATAAGTGAAGCAAAAAACATACCAAATCTTCAGACAGTTTATATCCCCACCTTTCAGAAAGGTGAGCTACTTCCTTCTCCTTGGGCAAGGCCACACAGACAGCCCAGTCCCATGAATGAACACAGCATACCATGTCTTCCCCAACACACCAGGAGTATTTAACTGCAGCCAGGCACCTGACATCTGGCCTTCTGATCCACAGCAACTTCAGTGAAACTGCATCCCATGCTGTGGCTGCCTCTCTAAAGAGGAGTCAACTGATGCTCCCTGTAATCATCCCTGGAGATGGGGCTGAGATCTCCACTGGTCTGCATGCTTGACTCTGCAACTGCAAACCATGTATCACAGAGGAACACTCAGTGCTGGAGAGGAAGGGAATTGTCAGAGGGCCACAGAGACCACTTGACTGATGGGCAAGGACAAGTAAACACACACACGTAGGTGTGCAGAAGCAGTGATCCTGGAGGACTGCTCCTCCTGTATCCACAAGCCAGCAATGCCAGTTGCTCATTGGTTTGGCTAAAAGGCTCTTATAAATGCTGTCCTTACATATGCTTCAGGAAGGAGAAAGCAGGAAGGTCCTGCCTTCATGATTTTTTTTAAGAACTGCTTTTCCTTTCTCATAAAAAAGTGAATTTGTGGAGGAGCAATTATCAGACTGGGAAAGATACAAGAAGTGGAGAGAGCTGTATGGGAACTGAATGGACTATGGATTTTAAACACATGGAATGGACTTTCTCACCACGGACTGACTGATGTTTTCCCCAGTTTTATTGTGTTATTTGTTCCCACTGTTGTACCCCTGTTTGTCAGTGATTTTTATGAAATTTTGATGTACCCTCCATTTTGTCCCTCCTTCTCCCTCAGGTTTTCCCGCCTTAACTTGTTTACTCCCTTGTTCTCCCCTGCTTTCCCGCTCCTCTGCTGCTGATTGGCTACAGTTTGCCGCAGTGCAGAGTGAGCTCTCATTGGCCCTTTCCCCTAGATACTCCAAGGTTACACCTACCTCTCCCTTACCTTCCAATCACTGTGTTCCCTCAGTTGTCAATCCCATGCTCCTCCCCAGTTCTAAATCCTCCCCTCAGACCTACCCTATATAAGTCCCTGTTTTCCCTGAATAAATTGGCATTGCTTCCCCGACCTTCAACTGTGTCCTGACCCTTATTCGCAGTGCCGCGTCCCCATTCCCTTTACCCCTCGGGCCGTGGCATGAATTCATTAATATTATAGTTAACAGTTGAAAATACTACTCTGGAGTCACAAGCTTGTATGCTAATTACGGAACCTTGGTACCTAAAAGATAATGTTGTGCAACATGAACTACTCATTATATGGGATTATGAGCCCTAAAAACAACAACAACAACAACAAAAACAACAACAAGAAAAAAGTGAATGATGGCAGCAAAGACTGACTTTTAAAATTAACATGCTATTTAAATAGCACCAAAGAAGAAGAAATTATCTATCACAAAAAGCAGTATTATATACTGCACCTGCAAGGTATATCAAACGAATTACTTTATATTAAGAAAAGAAGTTTATTTAAGCTATCAATTAACCCTTCCTCCCATATCTTGCGATACTTGGCAAGACTTACTAACAAAAATCCCTAGAGGGCACTTACCTTCCAAGACTCACATTCACAGTTACCAAGCCAATCACACTGTCTTGCTTGTTAGTTTAATTAAAAAGAGTATAACTCCATTTTTATTAAGTAAAGTAGACCCTCATGCAAGATGCTCACATTATTTGAAAGTTTTATGGCAGCTGTAATTGAGTCAAAGCAGGTACTGTGCATTTCAAGGAACATCACTGTACACAGGATGGCAATCGCTGTCAACCCGTATACCTATGATTTATACTAAAGCAGATATTTTTGCTTGCAGTCTTTTTGATAATGTATTGCCTGGGAATACAAGAAATGCACTTTTTAGATTTAAAAAAATGAATATACAGCAGTTTGATACTATTTTCAGTGAGACTTAGGTATTTTCACACAGCTTCATTACCAACAGCTGATTTTTCGACCCCTGTTTAAGGTCAGCCACCTTGGACTTGCTGTCCCCTGTTCACGGGCCTCAAACAGCAAGAGCCCCGAGGAATCTCCAGCACTGCAGGCTGCTGAGCAGCTTCTACTGAAATCTGGAAATTGGTTTCAACAAATTGCCCACAGGCAATGTGGGAGTGCTGGCTCCAAGCACCATCCGCTTCCCTTCCTTATCTTGCTAAAGAGTCTTCAGCAGCTCTTAGATGGTAACGCTGCCACTGCCTCAGAACACTTCATTTTCAGATTCAAATTGCACATTTTAAGGGCAACTTTAAACCAAGGGATCTTATGTAATGATCTTACATTATGCATTATCTGCATGATTAATAACAGCTGCAGGAACTGTTGTAAGAACTAATATTCCCTGTTCTTGCTTCCAACTACTGAATCTTTATATAATGCTATCTGATAACGATCTTAATCAATGCATTTCTCTCATTCTTAAGTTGCCATCCAGAAGGCTATTAAAATCAACAAACAACAATCTTATGACATATATGATGTCTCATCATACATTTTATTTACAACACTATATAGTCATTTAGAATTAAATAAATTAATTTAACCTTCTACAAGAAGGACATTCTTATAATAAAGAGGCAATGCCCTGATTTTGAGAGCAAGTTCTGGCCTTGACATATTATGACTACTCTCATGCTCAGACGGTCCCCACAGGGATATGCACCAATAAGTATGGCTCTTACACAAATAGGCAAACAAGTAACACTTGAAAAAAATATCTAAGGACATTAGTATGCTTATTGTTACCTCTTCTACAACACCATGCTGACAAAGGACATTTAAAA